GGTCAATTCTGTTTTCTTCATGATCTTGACTGCATACCACTGATCACCTCTGCCTTTCCTTTGAGCCAAGAAAACTTTCCTATTCCGTGGATTTGATGAATGAAATCAGGTTAGCTATTGGTTTAATTTGATAAAATAACTCATGTTATCGTGCTTGTTATAGATTTACTATTAAGCTGAGTCAGACCTCAGTATGTGTCTGCTAAGACATGCAAATTGAAAAATGAATTTCTTAGTTCTAGTATCCCCATACTCTAATGTGCATGAGCACAAATTCACTAGGAATATGACTAATGTACAGTGACAATGGGAATCAAGTGAGGGGATGTCCTCACCATTAAAGACTCAACTTTTAGTTGTCCTGCTCAAGTCAAGCAACAGATGTGACAATAACTATCTATAATTCTTTGCACTGGATTTCATACGGGATTTATACTCATATATGTTTGAGATGGATGTGAATTATTTTGAAACTGAACTGAAGAAGCTACAATGTTTTTGCACAGGTTGGCCACAAAGTGGGGGATCAGTTTAGTCTACAGGTTGTCTGAAAGCCCCATTCTTTTACAAGTTTTACAAATTGAGCGATCGAAGCCCATACACCATACAATATTGAAGAGAGAATTGTGGTCTCCATGTGGATGCATAAATCAACCAGGACCAACCAGAAGGTCCTGGGCATCAGGCATGTTTTTCAGGAACATCGCAGCATTCACAGCAGCTGAAGGCTGCTATGACTGCCACTTTGGCAAATGTCACACCTTACACACAATGGAAAATAAACATCCTGCAGGACATGGAGATGTTTTCAAGTGTGTTTGGAATGTGATGGTGACCATACAGACAAACATGACTGAAAATTATTAAAGTACTCCCCCACTTCATGGCCACCCTGAACTGTGAAAAATAGTTTAACCTAGAGTAGTCCAATACAAAAACTCCTCCCTCATTCTCTTTTTTCTTACTGTCTTAAATCCTAATGGCAAAAATGGTGACATATCCACATTAAATATTGCTATGCACAAAAAATCACATATGGAGAGCTTTCAAAGATTCATCACTTAATAATTCAAAGAGATCATTTCAGACTATTGCATAAATAAATAACAGTCAAGATGTATCATAAATGCTTTCATCAATCTCTACAGAAAAAGATGGAAAAAAAGTGGGGTTTTTTTTTGGGGGGGGGGTTACAGTGTAAACTGAGGAAAGTAAAATATCAGGAGTACTCACCCAAAAGCACCTCGGCTGATAGGCTTGACTATTTCAAATTCTTCAATTGAAGGTATCTGCAAGTATTAAGAAAAGAGCAAATGAAGGAAGTTACAAGTTATACATATACCCTTAAACAATAAATGTAGCATACACAAGAAAATAAAGAAAGTATTTGACAGCAACAAATTCTTAAAATCCAACTGTGAAAAATTGTGAACATACCATGGAACTATTGAATTGGAAATGACTAGGAATAACTCAGTGTTGATATGTTACTGCACTCATTTTCATGCTCTTTACAGAAATGTGCTGATCCTGTAACTTGATCCTTCGAGATGCCCAGAAACTGTGAGGCATTAAAATCAAACCCAAAAGTAACATTTTTGAACCAACTTCATACCACACAGGGCTGATATTTGCATACTAATTTCAGGTTTCTGTAAAAATAAGAGAATGACTTATGCAATAAAAAATTTCCATGACCATCTTTTCCATGTTTAACTGCTTTCTCAAATAGCAAAGTAACTAATAGTGACTTTTTTTAAAGCAAATTTTCAATGTGCCAGGATACTTAGTTAACTATCATGACTTTTCCAGTTGTGTGAAATCCTGTCACCTTAGGCAAAACCAAAGCACTAGCAAAGCATGTAGGCCAAACCTTAAGTGCACAAAGTGCACACATATACCTACACATATAGCAAGCAATGAATTTGAAAGTATTTTTCACTTGAGTTCAACTATTTTTCATAGGAGGGGTAGTGTCCTATTTCCAACCTCCCCCCCCAACTACCACTACCCTTCATCCTATTGCTTTTATCATCTTCTGTCAGGGGTAAAACCTGGATTTATATTTATTTCACTGGCCCCAATTAAAATTATTGTAGGTGCTTTTTACATGTTAAAAGTAGAACAAGAACCTGGTCATAGGGGGGGCAGATGCCCCATGGATCTGCAACTGACTCAGACAATCATGCATGAGGAACATCACATGTATGAGTCAAGTGAAAAATTGTCTGACTCAAGTGAAAAACACTGTGGAGCTCTCAGGAACATTTTATCATTGGAAGTGAGGAATTTTTCATTATTAATGAAAGATTTCTCACTTCTTTAATAATTGATCCTTGTAGCATGAATATTTTTAATTAGCACTTTCATATATGCTTTAACCTTCCGATGCTGATGCTCCAGCAGTCTGATGATCCCCAGTGAGGTTTATTTTTAAATATTTATAAATAAACAAACACATGAATTAGACTGATAAAAAAAAAAGCCTAAGATAGAAGAAGGATAACTTGACACAAATAATTCTTTACAGTTTTGAGAAGCTGTTAGAAGCATCAGTACAACAATAAAAAAAATGGTACCTGGGTCCAAAAATACCCCACATTGGTATCAGAATGTTAGTGATGTCTCCCAACTCACATCATTCAGAACAATCATTCAATGGAATAAACTATTAAATTCAGAAAGACTTTGACATATACAAGCAGGTGAATCCCATTAATGTGATGTTACTCTCATCATCTCTCTTACATTGTCATTAAGTCTCTTGTCCTTAAAATTTTTGGTATTCTTTTGTCTTGTTTGCACACCTTGTTTTGTACCATGCACACTGCTAGAAGTGATGTTAGTCAGTTGTGGGTGTTGTATGTGTGTATACTACAACCTATGACCATCACTTGAGTAATGGTTGTAGGTTGCAGTATGCACATGAGTAGTATGCAAGTGAGTGATGTTCTCCCAGACTCCCATGTGGAATGCACTGCCTGACATAATGGTGAGCAGGCACATGTAGACACACTGAATCTTTGCTCTTCAGAGGGCTTTCTTAGAGGAAGTTTTCTGACCAGAACAATGCTCAGTTCCACCACAATGAATGGCAGAAGTATCATCCTGAAGGTGAGAAGATAAGAGTGACCATATCCGGATCACTGACTGCTGTTTGGCGATTTCAAACATTGAAAATCCCGCTTCTGATGTTGCATGAACATGCTTAAGCTTATACTTGTAGGCATCATGTATCACCCTCCTGATCTTGGATGAGGTGAATATGATAGTGCGGGGGAAGTGATAGGAGTGAGGGGAATGTAACCCTATACACAAACCAGTAAACTCCCTACTGCTCAGGGACCAGTTCCTTGTGGGAACAGATTTTCCTTAGTTGCAAGAGTTCAACAGCTACCAATGGAATTAGTTGTTTTGTGCATGTGAATATGTGAGTGGGGAGTGCCGGTGAAAAGTGAAACTTGTGCATCCTGACAAAGGGCTAGATGTTCAGGCATACCAAAGTTGAAGTTTGCACACATCTGAGGCATACATGTGGGCAACAGGTCTACAGGTTCATCCTGCTCACTGTTACATTGGGCAGTGCGTTCCACATTGAATGTGGGAGTGGAGGTTCTGTCCCCATTGGGAAATAGTGTGCACATAATGAAGTTGAGGTTTATGTGCAATGTTCACAGGATTTAACAGTGTGCATAGGACAAAGGAATACCACATTTTTTGCATAAATAAGGTGCTTTTTTGGTCGATTTCACTCTTTAAGCCAGTACTACATAGGTTCTTCTAAATCAATTGGTTTTGTTGGAAATTCCTTATCTGAATTGTCCCACTCCATATCTTCCTCTGGCAGTTTGTCCTCCTTTTTCATTAATTCAATTTATCTGCCTCTGTGATACTTCCTTCAGAGAATTATGGTCTTGTATGTAGCAAATTATATTCTCAAAGGAAGACAGTAAGTCAGATACCCACCCTTTCCCTGCATTGGCATAAGTAAAGGCTATTCAATCATTCTCAAGCACTCAAACATGCAAAACAGGAATGTCCATACCAATGTTTTTGATGAGGTCTCTTCAAACAGGTCTACATCCATCACATCACAGTAAAATAGGTTATGGGTTAGGCCTAAGTCAACAAGTCTCTCGAAGTCTGGAACCAGTTATGATTCTACACACGAACGTGAGTAATGAGAAAAAACAGCGCGCCTTAGCCAGCTGCTCGCAGGCCACGTGCAACGGATTTGATATCTGCACGGTTGCACGGCTCTACTCGCTTAAGTCAAATTTCTGCAACCCATAAATTATTGCGTGCGCTAAAATTTAAGCCTACATTCCATCATATGCATGGCACTGATATTTTTAAATAATAGTTTCCAATAACCTTGGCATCACACAATTCTCCCCCGGCCATGTGTTCTTCCGGAGGATGATACTTCATACCATGGATGTCATGGGCAACCTCAGTTGCATATGGCGTACTCCAGTATCATTTGTAGATAACCGTGGATGCAGATATTAAAAGGCAGATAGGCCATGTCTCCTTCCTGAGTTGAGATTGAGATTGACATGGTTAATGAGCTCATTGGCTAGTGCACATCCTGCGCAATTATTGTGACAGTATTGCTTTGCATTTTATTGTAACTGTTCCTTGCCCGGAATACTTCTTAGCCATTGAGTCTTGAGTATCACGTAACTATCGAGTGTACACGAAGCAGTGCGATTTTTGCGGCTTTTCACATATTAAACTGTCATTGTACTGGGAAGTAAATTTTTTGAAGGTTTTGCGATTTTGTTCAGGTTCAGGATTATTATACGCACGTTATCCGTAGTAAAACTCAAGGCATACTCCTGTCCTTGAACTAAAGTTCATCCGCATGTGGCGAAAGGACGATGTAGCCTTTCAGAAGCAAATTAGGATATCCAAATTGGGAAGACCACCTGTAAGATAATTAGGATATTTTGAGTTTGTACATCATGTGCACATCTCAACCAGTCAAACAACATTACATGCCCACCATCCTTCTGCACCCACTTTATTCCTTCCTTTGTGGGGCACTCCTTTTCTCCTTCAGACCTGTTTGAAAGCTGAAATGTAAAGATCAAAAGTCAGAGTCTACTTTTTTTGTTTTCTGTCTTACCCCTTTGTAGGAGCAGCTATGAATATACCATGATAAGATACTTTCCTGCACCTCTCTTGTTGTCAGCTCTCATAAACTACTGAACCTCCTAAGCTCTTACTTTTACAAAATCACATAGGTAAATTTTCTGTCATGACCAAGGTGTACCAACTTTCCTTGGATGACCTGTTGAGATTTGTTAGCTTGAAATTCCAAGGTGATAACTTCTTTTTTTGCTTATTTTTTTACTTGTGCTGTTCTTGTTCTTCTGCTGGAGCCTCAAGAAGTAACAGGAAACCTGTAATATCAAGGTGCTGAAGAATCATATCAGGCTGTAGATTATCTAGATTATTCTTTTACTTTGTTGTATAGGATACCTGAAAGCCATTTTTTTAATTTGCATTGGAAGAGATTCAAAGATAATAGAGGGTTTTTGTTCTGCATCACATTTGATTCTCCATATGCCAAAAAATGCTGGGATTTATGAACTGGACATATCATCACTTCATGGAAGTGATTATATGTGCAGAAATCCGTAAAAGTGTAATCATATACCAAAACTTTAACAATTTCTAAGTAAGTATCTTTTCTATACAGTTCACATCTTGCCTTCTCTCTTCCATATGTAGTAGCAGTCATGGAAGATCTATATACCATGGCTCTAATTATTTGCTGATGAGGAATTAAATGTTAGGCATGTAATTTTAAAAAAATAAAATGTATATTCATTTGTTAATTTTTTTTAAATAGAGGGAAGTCATATTGTAACCTTTTTCATGATGAAGATCAAACAAGAATTTGGCCAAAGTTGATACCTTGGGAAAAGCTTTCGTTGTGTCTACTTTTTTTTTTTGTGGTTCTACAAGCCTACAACACACGATTAGCACGCTTTTCCAAGATAAAAATAAACACTCTCCCTGAGCTCAAGTGGAGGTTGTCCCCTCTATCCTTCTTCATTGCTTGAAATTCTGTGTACCATTACAATGAATTTCTTAAGTTGGAAGGTCTCTTGATTTAGTGTATAATACATGTTGACTCATGTAGGAGGTTCAATGGGGCAATCGAGGAAAGAAGGAAGTGATCAGTCAGCTGCTTCTGTACTGCTCAATTTTTATTATTATGTTATAATATGTTGCAAAGATTCAGTTTATAAGGTGATGTTATGGACACATGATATGACAAAAAACACCAAAGGAGTTATAAGAACAAACTCAGGTATACAGGTGCGTTAAAGTCATGAGTCACCTTCTGTCAATGCATGTATAAATTATTTTCATGCTCCACCACAAATTTGACAAGTGACTACAACAGCTTTTAGAGTGCCTCTCATGTACTATCATTTAGGCTCCTGTTACTCAAGTATTTGTTGTAAACTTTGGTGTCATGAAAATGAAGTTTTGACTTTCTGCTATTCTTTTTGTGCCACTTTAGAGTACAGGACTATACTTGAGCTTACATAATTATTATTCTCATGCTCAATTCATGAGAGAGCCCTGTTGCCCTATGTGGCATAGACCTACAAAGTTCATTCCATCTAAAGTTTTCAATGCTTGGAGAGTGTATTTTATTATAGGCTAGCCTGCTATATGAAATTCAGGATCAGGATCAGGATTCTGAATAATGAGTAAAATGCACTTACTAGCAACAACTTCAATTTTGACAATTGCTAACTTGATGTTGGTTGTTCCCCTCTCTTCTTGCTATTGCAGTCCCATGAAGTTATCACATTGGTGTGGCTCAAATAAGCATTCATGAGTGAGGAAAACACCAGTGAGCCCAGACCTATGTCTGAGGCTCATGAAAACCTCGCAGATATAACTCAGGATGAATCTGGTGATGTCAAAGTTGATCACATCAGCAGTATGGAACCTGACAAGGAGTCACAAGCAAGTGCTGAAAAAGAAGATAGTGAAAAGTCTTCAAGCCCTACTGCTAGCATTCAGAGTGCAGAAGAGTTAATCCGCACAGGTGATTTGAACTCAAAACTCAAGTTTGCTGTCCTCATTGGTCTCATTGAAGTGGGACAGGTCACTCACAAGGAAGTTGTGGCAACTGTTCAACATCTGGTAAGCTGCATACAATAACTAGCTTATGGGCTAGGTACCCTTTTGAATTCATAAATTGAAGAAATGCATTGCTTCCTCTGTTCCAAAAAGCTTGTTGGTGGAGAGTTTGATATGGAGCTCAATTTCATCATCAAAGAACCCGAGAATATACTTTGCATGCTGGAACTTCTTGATCATTGTCCCTCCTCACTGCAGGTCTGTGTTGCTACATACAATCCAAACAATGCAATTCCATTTTACTTGTTGGTGACACTGCATTGATCACATGATATTGTCTCAATATTTCCCCAACAGGCTGAAATGTGGAGTGTATTCACAGCAATGCTGAAGAAGTCAGTGAGAAACATGCAGGCTTGTGCTGAAGTTGGTTTAATTTTTGAAATTCTCCAGAGGCTGAGGTGTGCAGAGCCAGTTGTTGCTGGTAAGTCCCAACTTGTTACTGTCCATATAGAACTATATGCGACAGACAGAATAAATGGACATTATTTTTTGTGCGGTTTAGATCTATTGATAGAGCTTCTGGGAGTCTTGGCATCATATTCAATCACTGTGAAGGAACTGAAGGCACTGCTTGCATCAATGAAAGCCATCAAAGGAAGATGGGTGAGTTTATTCCTTCACATTGCTTGCTGTGTTTGATTCTTGATCAGTCAATTTGACTTGACATCTCTAATTGTTTGACTGACATTTAGAAGATATGATGAAATCTGACATTTGATGACAAGTTTATTAAACCCACTACCATTAGGCTTAGTAAAGATGTTCCTATAAATTTCGAGAGAAGCTTTGTTCTCACATCAGGTTCTCTAGACAACTGCTTGTAAACTCTTGTTTCTTTCTTGAGAAAGGATTATAGCTCACAATAAGAAATTGTAGGGAATGTTGGAAGCCTCCTGCTCATCCCTGTCAATGACTGCCTGGCACGCTGAGGCATTGATTCTTCTGCAATTGTTTTATTTATTTAAATACCTATTAAACTGTGAAAATGTGAGGAGTCAACTATGAATTTGATGCTTCTTTTCCTGTAGCCCTGCCATTCTGCAAAGTTGCTCAATGTCCTCCGTCAAATGCCACAAAGATCAGGTCCTGATGTCTTTTTCTCCTTCCCTGGCAAGAAGGGCTCTGTAAGTCATGCAGTACTCTTTCCCTAAATTCTCACTGTTCCATAAGACAACAAAGAAGCCAGGTTACAGAAGGATTTATTTATTTGAATTTATGGGTCTATGTTGCCTACATTATGGGAAGGTGGAATTGCCATGTACTGTTTTGACTTGCTACCCAGCAGATAAACTCCTGAAATTCCATTATGATTGGCTTGCTGATTTAGTATTTTATTTGATCTGTTTGGATAAATAAACAGCTAGGATAGTAGAGATTTTGCTGTCATATACAGTGGTGGCCAAAGTTATTGCTACAATTTGGATTTTCAAAATTTGTTTACTTTGGTAAGTTGATGTACACAATTTTTGCATGGTATATTACACTTATGATATGCATACTTTATTAATTCCTTGTACCTTGCATGTTAATGCATGGCATTACTTAAGTCAAAGAAATGTGAACTTTGTTGTGATGCTATAATTTTGACCTCCCCACTACAACATTTTGGAATCTCATGTTATTAGCCTCCAAATTCTCCATCCAGATCAGAATGAATCAATCTCAGTGCCAGTAGTGGCTTGTGATATTTAGCACTAGTGGTTCATCTATGGCAGGACTTCCCAACCCTGGGATCGCGAACCAGCAACTAAATGAAATGTTGCGTTTTTTCTTTGCGATTTTAACTCATAGCCTGTCAAACTTTGGCCAGTGCTTGGGGTCCTGAATGGTATGGTCGTGACGTCTGGGGTCGTGCATGGAAAAGGTTGGGAAGCCCTGGTCTGTGGAAAGGGGTAGGCAGGGGAGGGCACTGCCTACTCCCTCTCCATAGATGAACTGCTAGCACTAAATATCATGAGCTGCCACTGCTCAGTGCTGAAAAACAAAGCATTTAATACTTGGTAAATGCTTTTTTAGAATATTTTTTTCTCAATTCATGCACTATGAATTTGGCATGTTTTATTATGCTTCCTGAAATTGGTTGGTCATTCTGAGAGCAGTGATCAAGTTTTTGACCCTGCAAAACTGGAAGGTAGTTAAATGTATATGCACCTATAGCCTGTGTACATTTGTATATATATGTTGAGGTAGTCAGTATAGGAAATATTTTGAAGTAAATTTGGCAGCATCTTTTGGAGTTGATGTTTTATTTTAGACCTCTCTGATTGCTTTTCACCTTGTTCACCCACTTGCATACTGTGTATTCAGCAAAGGCATATTCCCAGTTAACATGTCGCTACTTGTGAATGTGTGCCTGCTTAAGGTTTTGCAGTGTCACAGACTCAAAAATCACTCATTGCCCTTGGAAATATAATTTTGCCTCTGCACATTGTGTGAAAAATAGAAATTTCTTATTACCTGATAGGAAGAAAAAAGTCATTTGAAAACATATCACAAATAACACCTTATAGAGATAGGCTCAAAGTTATATTGCCCAATTAGTTTTTCCTACTATTCATGGGTTTGGCAAGCAAGTGATGCAAACCTTTTGAATGCATCTTATAAAGACCAATAAGAATTGGCCTCATATGTCTATGTCTACCTGTATCACTCAATGTATGGAGCAAGTTAGTCTATTTGTATTAATTGACTTTCTAGTCATTTTTTCCTTTCTTCATCTCTTGCCCCATCTGTAATTTTTGAGATTATCCCATATTCTGGCAAATTGAACTGTGTGCTGTTTTTGTTGTTTTAGGCCATCATGCTTCCTCCTCTGGCTCGTTGGCCCCATGAGAATGGATTTTCCTTCACCACCTGGTTCAGGCTGGACCCAATAAATGCTGTCAATATTGAGCGAGAAAAGCCATACTTGTACTGGTATGTATATTTTACTACTCCTAGAAATTCATATTGTAATACCACAAGCATGACGTGTATGGTTGGTAACATGAATTTCTATTTGAGAATATGTGCATTCTTTCTCATTCTTTGTGATTAGTTTTCGAACCAGCAAGGGAGTGGGATATTCTGCTCATTTTGTTGGGAATTGCCTTATCCTGACATCTGTGAAGGTGAAAGGGAAAGGTTATCAGCATTGTGTCAAGTATGAGTTCCAACCTCGAAAGGTATGTCTTCTTGCAATCTAGTTTATAGCTGGTTTCTCTGAAAATCTGAGATTTTGTGCATATATCACCTAAGCTGGGGCTCTCAGACTTTTTCCTATTGAATTTCTAAGATGACTTTCAGAGACATTTGAGAGTCTTGGTCTCATTGCTTCATATTGTGAGTCAACAAAGAAACTAGTATTGCCCTGCCCATACATGGTTATGATGCATAAGCTTTCAAATCCAGTTATAAGCATGAGTAAAGAATGATTACATCGACAGTGAATTCTGAACACATATGTGGGATCCATACAAACTGCAGGAGAAGCTGAAAATGCTACCCACTAACATGGATATGCTTTTGTGTTAGGACAACAGTGTTAAGGGAAACAGTCGATGCTGATGTTTTAGTTTTGTTTTTGTTCATTGAAATGATTGAAGGTGCATGGGGTGTTTGCATACACCTTTGCTTTCCAAGCACCCCAAAGGTAAAAGTAATGCACAGAAAAATTCAGTGAACATGTTCACCAGAATCCTTTCCTGACAGTATGCCCCACCAAACACAGCATGAACCTGCACAGGAAACTCTGTGACATGTGAGCTGTAGCTCCATCTTGCTGGAAATATCCAAGCCTTGTTCATTGTCACTTAACTGAATGAAAAATTCTTCAAGGGTTTTGATATACTGAGCAGAATTAAATTTTTTCCTGAAAAAAAAATTGAGCCAATTGTATGGCTGCCTGAGAGAGCACACCCAACTCAAATCTTCTAGTCGTGCATTGGACCCTTGTGATGCTGGTGTGGGTTTTCTGAAGGCCAGTGACAATTGTTTTGAGAATGACATATTTTCTCAGATGGATCCATGCTTCCTTGAACCTAAAAGAGATTGAGGTCTAAAAATCCCCTAGCAATTTCTTCAAGTAATCACTGGCAGTGTTGAACAAATGTATAGTGATCCAGTGGCTTAAGTTCTTGTACTGCAGTTATCTAGTATGGTTTTAACTGTAACTACTTCAACATCCTTTGACAGGATGTCCTAGATGTCAACTTACCACGACAATCGTGTTAATTTTATGGGACCTTTTATATGCTGCTGAATGTCCTCAGTATTCTCCCCCTCCATTCTTACTCTCACTACACATTTGCATTTTGCTTTCAGCACAGAACCCATTGATATCCATTTTACCAGTAAAACCTGCTTTAAAGACTTCAGCAGGATACTGATGTCTGGATGCAGTTCGAACTGCTCATGGTATTCTTTGAATGACATTGTAATCACAAAATGTTCCACCATGCTCACTCTCTGCTGTGCACTATGCAGCAACTCGTTCCACCACATGCCAAACACTGAACTCAGCTATATTATGCTGGTCATACCTTCATAACATGCTCATCTCCAATTGCCAAGGTGATTCATGCTAGCATTCATACAAATAACACAGGACCCACCAGACCTAGATTCATTCCCATCCATGCAGCCAAGCCAGGCAGGTCCTCTAGCTGACCAAGGCCTGTTTCACATGGAACACCCTGTATTTATGTAAAGGATAATAGGAAGGAACAGTTGAGCTTTGAGAATGTGTAAAAGTAACAACCTGAATTCAAAGCAATCCCTTTTGGCAATAGTTTTCATATGGGATCATTCCATGACAAATAGGGAAAAAAAAAGTGTAAATTTTACCCTAACTTGTCCAATTTTAGTTAAATTTTCCATAGCCCTATCAAATCATCCAAGTCAAAGCTCCTCAAACTAGGAAATTTGTTGCTTGTTCATCATGGATTTCCTTGAAGATGTACTTATAACTTAATATTCTTTTTTTTTTTTACTCAAAATTGTCTTCACAATAATGTTCTCATCAAAGGCTATATTGGATTATATTGTAATCTTGGATTCAGAAAATAACTTCACTATTTAAAATTCCATTATACCTCTCTGCAAGTTGTACCAGCTCAGCAATCCCAAATTGCAGAAGTTCCTTCACAGTTGAAGGATAATTTCTTGGATCAACAATTTCCAGTTCCTCATATTTATCAATCTCTGAAAATTGATTGTGAATGTTCTTGCACAAATTTTGCTCAAAGACATTGTATCATGCACTAATTTGATATACAGTTCATTATCACAGTACTTGATATAGCCATGGAAATGGATTGGATGTTCTCTAATTGCTTTGTTAACCCTTTTGCTGCCATTCACGCCATATGGCATGTTCAGCACAACAAACCTCCACTGTCACGCTAGGCAAGGAGGGGTTGGCTGGGCATTTAAGTCCTCGGCAGTGAAAGGGTTAAGGTCTTCAGAAATATCCCACTAGACAAGACAGGGTTCAAAATTATCAGTAGCCCAAGAGTCCAAGACTCCATGATTGAGTCAAGCTCCTGTGTGTTTAAAACAGGGAGCCCTTTGGGGCTCTTCATTATTGCATGGGAATGCAATCTCTGGTTAATCATGGGAGATTGAAAATGGAGTACAGTTCTTTAGTTGGCAATGTTTCATATTGATTTATAGGGGTCCAAATGGTTGCCCAGATACTCAACTGATCCTGTTACTCAAGGGGTTTCAAGAACTGCTATGATACTTGACCCCTGGTTTCTTTCTTTGAAAAACCCCTGTGCCTCCCAGATGTGGGGTAAAGGAAGTTCTTCCAATCACAGCAGAAAAGATGAGGAAAAAATGAGCTAGCATGTGTTGCCCTTCCTCTCTCACCACCCTTTTTTTTGTTGTATCTTCATCATTTAGAGATGGAAAACTATAGCAATATTGACTACTGGCCACCAGCTTTTTTAAATTATTATTTCTGGTCCTGCTTTTACTACTGCTGAACCATCTCAGTGCTCCTGAATGGGTTTCCCTCCCAATTTCCAAACTGTTGGAAATGTTCTCTGGTAAAACTGGACATTCTTGTTTTCATGATTATAAGACTGCCTGTCTACTGTGAACAATTTGATCACCCCTGAGCAAATATTGAATCAGTCATTCATTGCAGAGTGAATGGACTATACAGAGTAAAGTTTGTGAATAGTGCTAATTTGGCTCATTTGGAAGCAATGGTTTTGGAACATCTTCTGGGTTTGACACAATAAATATGTACAATTCTGAATCCAGTATTTGCACTGTACAGCATTCCTTAGTTGGCCTAGTATACCTTATATTGCCCATGTAGGTCATATCATACCTGTCCATATTTGAAGTATTATTTTTGTCATTTGTGATATTTGTCATAATTTGAAATATATTATTACATGATACATCGATGCCATTTCAATTATCATGTAAGAATACCATATACATTTTCATTTAAGCTTTTAAAGAGCTTTTATATTTTTAATGCTCAAGGTTGTACAATAGTTTTGAAAAAAGTTGCATATCTTGTGGTATGCATCATTTTGGCCTCTTTTTCTTTCCTCAAAATTTAAACCCATATTTTGGAGATGGCTTGGCAGAAAATTAAAAGCTTGCATTATACTATTCTTCACCAAAGGGCATATACATTTTCAAGGAAATCCATGATAGAGGGACCAAAAAATTTCCTAATTTCCAGAAGGTTTTAGCATAGACTGGCCCTACCCTATTAGGTTTTTCTGACTGAAACCATGAATTTCCTTTTTTTCATTTCATCAGATCAGCAGGTTAAGTTCCATGGAGAGGTCAAATTTCAGTTCCTCTCGTTGACCCAAAGCTCTGAAGTGCCCATAGCTCAATACTATTCATGATAATAACTTATAAGTTGCGAATCAATGGAAATTTTATTATTCTTTCAAAATTGATCAGAAAAAACTCACAATGTTTCTCATCAAGAAAGTTCTTGAACTATGGGTGAGTACAGGCCAAATGGAGAACTTTATCCTTCTTCCATAGCAGTGATGTTTTCGATGACATATCAGAATTTTATTTTAGTTTTCGCCAGTCCCATCATTTTTGTTTTCATTAAATATATTTATTTATCTGAGCAAAAGTAATCACAATAATTTTATCTTGAGGTTTCATAATTGCAGTAAATTTTTACTGTATTGTGACCTAATTTTATCATTTTCAACAAGATTTTTCTTGAAATAAAATTTTGACCAATTTTGGTATTTAAAAAATTGTTTCACCAAAAAGAAACTTTCATTTCTCTTATTTCCATGAATGTATCACATTATGGAGGAAACTCCATAACATCCTCCTTATCATTAACATCCTTCTTATGTCCTCCTCCTGGAGGACACATGACACCTTTCACATGACTTTGTGCATGGGTTGCACACAAATATGAGTGGAAAGTGTGAAATGTGAGTGAGACTACTGTGAGGTACTTAAACAGAAAATATTATTCTGATTTAAATATTTTGCATTACTTGAATTCTTTTGCTGCAGTTGTCATTTTGCATTCTCCCCTAAGAGATATCAGGGTTTTTTAATTCAGCAGCAAGGGAGATAATCATTTTTGCTTTCAACTTCAATAGAGTGCAGAATGTCTGCACATGTTTTGGCAGGATGGGATGAAAATATGATAGAAAGTAATATTCATCCTGGACATCCTTATTTTAGTTTCTTGTCCACTTTTCATCCATGAAGAAAGCAGAAATTTTATTTTCATCAGTGGCTTTTTCATCTAAATTTTCATTGACAAAAAAACAACATTGCTCCATAGTAAGTGCAATTCAGCCTTTCTGCTTTTACTTTTTCAACTTGTCATGCAAATAGGTGCAGAGGTGATATTAACCCATTCCAAGTGCAGTGCAGCAAGTGTGCAGAATTTGCTGCAGGCAAATATAATATGCAAAGTTCTTTAGGAAGCTGGGAATCTGACAATATGATTACCCTTCAAAATAAGGCCATGATACTAATGTACAATGGCTTCTTCACCTTGTTGTGGCCTCAAATCCAGAACAGCTGATGTTGTTGATGACTAAGAATTTCAATAACCAAGTTTGTTTAGTGAATTCTTAATCTGTCTCCATGTATGATAAAAATAAAATGGCAAAGTGATCCTTAGACATCCAGAGAGTATGTCAGGTGTCTGATCGTGATTTTTTCTGATTCTTCCTACAGTGGTACATGCTAGCTGTGATATACATCTATAATCGATGGAGCAAGAGTGAAATTCGAGTTTATGTGAATGGGCAGGTGGCATCAACCACAGAAATGAGTTGGCTTGTCTCTACAAATGAAGTAAGTAGGCTGAGGCCGGCATCATTGAGTGCATTCACTTCTTTGAGATAAGAGAGTATATTACCTCTTTCCCCAAGATATTCGACAAGTGCTACATTGGATCATCAACAGAGGTAGATGAGGAACGTGTTTTCTCAGGACAAATATCAGCTGTCTATCTCTTCAGTGAGGCTCTAACTGCACAGCAAGTTTGTGCCATGCATCGATTAGGGCCTTCATACAAGGTATCATCCAGAAATCTCATATATCTTGCTTCATTGTGTTGTGGACATGCATGTTTTGCATTTACATGTACCTTTCATTTGATTTAATATGATTATATGATGTAGGAGGTTGGAACTATTGGAGTTGTCATGCTAAGAAAGCTGAAATTCCTATTTCATGATCCTCTCCAAAATGTGAAGATAATTTTTTAAATGTATCCTTTTGAGAGTCTCTTGAGTAAGACCATTCACACTTGCTAAATGAAACTGTAAGTACCTCAGCAAAACAATTTCAATGGTTGGCACATGAAAGTTATAGCTGGAACCCCCTGATCATGTTATACCAAAGGTCAATTGCATGTGTTTTTACATTCAGAATGTTATAATTACTTGGAGGGGTGAAAGACTCCAAAAGGAGGTATGCTATGAAGAGGATTCATATTTCAATATATTTTATAACATGTTGCAGGCATGGTAGAATATTATTCTTGCTTCAGTTATGATTGTGGGACTACTTGAATGAATCCCATGCCTCTATTCAAGTATCTCATGCATGATTGTATAGATGGAATATATGTAACTTGATTGAGTCTTGTTTCAATCATGGCTCAAATCAGTAATCTCCAACTGAAAACATTAAAATACCGCATGTGAAAAACAAGTTTGTCTTGAATGCAAAACCATTCTATGATGTTATTCTTCCTATAGTCCAATGCAAGTCAATTCAAATATCGACAGATTTTGAATTAAGGAAGATTTTGATGTTTTCTCTGTATTTCCTGTTTTTGTAGCAAAAGGAGGGAATTCAGCTTTCATTCTCATATACTAAGCTGGTAAAAGTACAGTAAAGCCTCGCTAGTCTGGACTAATTGGGGGGAGGGGGGTCTGGATTAGCCAAAAGTATGGACAATCCGAAATAAATAGAAAAAACATTGCATGTGTAAATGAAGCATAATAAACCTATAAAATCCAAAACAGTACTTTATATTAACTTTGTAAATGATCAATAATAATTGAACACTATAGGGTGCCAACAGTTAGAAAACAGAAGTTTGCCAGACACTTCCTCAGACCTCTGTACCACTAAGGTGGTCTGAAGGTCTGAAGAACCTTTCTGAAGTCTGGACCACTAGAGTCCAGATTAGTGAGGTTTCACTGTAATGATGTAATGTATAATTCTCTTGCTTTCTTTTCATGCACAACCCAAAAAATCAATAATATTATCCACAACCCCAAGCACTGGCTGGAAGTTTGACAGGCTCTCCCACCTATGCACTAAAATCGCAAAGAAATACATCACTTGGCATTTAGTTGCTGGTTCTTGACCCCAAATATGATCTCTGCAACCCCAACAGGGTCATGACCCATGGCTTGGGAAGCCCTACTATTGAGTCTACTCTTTTTGTTGATATGTAAATCACACTACAAATTCCTTACCCATGCAGTGTAAGGTTTAATAGGAACTGAACCACATTTTGCAGCCATGTACAATCAATGGACATTGTATCACTTCTGCTAATTTTATCACCTTTTGGAAGCTATGGACAAAACAGTGGCAGTACAAAAGAATTCTGCAAATGTGTATGAGGTCTTGGCACTGCATCGTTTATCTATAGTTGGGACTGCAGAGAGTAAATCCAACCTTTTTTGATGCTATTGTAAGTTGAGTCAAATGTGCGTTAATAAATTTCAAAGCATTGAATCATATTGCATTGAAAACTGCATAATTGAATTTACTGTTTGTGAAAACAAACTGAATTTATTAATGTCAATGATTCATTGGTGTCTGAAGTCATGTCAGTGTGATTAATGTTTAATATTTCATGGCCAAAACTGATGACTAAATGTAGTATTCCGTATAATGGAATGTAAAAAATACTAAAAGTCAGATTGTCTTTATCATGAACAATGCTCTGTTGAGATAAAAATTAAGGCTGATTTTATACTCCTGCTGTAATGCATACACATCTATACAGCATATTTGTATTAGATTGCATTAGCATCTTTTACATTCCTTGAGAGAATTTGCAAAAAATACAGCTGCATACTTTTCATCATTTCCCTCTAGTGAAGTTGCCTCATTGAAACACATGGAAAGTCTAGCAGGATCCAAACTGGGTGCTCCTTTTCAAAAAGGTCCTTAAATTATTGAAATTATAAGAAAAACAGGACTTGGTTTTCATACAGGAGGAGGTTTACACTGTCTGATAATTCACAAAGTAGCTCAGCTGCATAATAGCCATTTTGAGATTATTTTTTTTTTGTCCACTTCATATGTGCCTCTCCAGCCATTGAGACCATGTCATAAAGAACAAAAATAAAACCTCTAAGAAGTATATATTTGCTAAAAGTGTATTCTTGTGCTTTTCAGAGTCAATTTCGTTTTGAAAACGAGAGTCTCCTGCAATTGCCCGAGAATCACCGGCGTGTTCTGTATGATGGGAAAATGTGCTCAGCAATCATATTCATGTATAGTCCTGTAGCAACTGACAGCCAATTGTGCCTTCAGGCTGCACCCAAAGGAAACTCTTCTTTCTTTGTCCACACTCCCCATGCTCTCATGCAGCAGGTAAGCACAATAGCTAACTACAGGGTGGCTGGAAAATGTGACCCTGACTGACAGGTCAAAGTAATGACTATCATCATTACTTTGACCTGTCTTAACATTAACAGGTTACAACAACGTGATTATATCTATACTATTATATTTCACAGTGTTTGTGTGTCTGTCCTTTCACAAAACACAACCCATGACAATCTCAAAAAGTTCTGCAATGCTGGCAGTCTCCACAATAAGAAAAGTAGCAGGCATCTGTCCCTGACTTCTGCAAGGAATGGACATCTGCCTCTCATCAGGGACAATGTCCTAAACTTTTCAGTTTTTAGGAGTGTTTACCTTCCCACCCTCACCATTGGTCATAAAGTATGGGTATTGACTATAAGAATCATACTCAGGTCACAGGTGCATGCTACTGAAATTAGGTTTCTGCAGCAGGTGGTCTGTGGCATGCACAATGAGAGGATGTGAAATGCTGACATCCATGAGGATCTCTTGGGCAAGCAGCCATACATGTTTTTGCTTTTTTTGCCATAAACAGGAAATCATTTATTTTTCTGCAGATTTTTGCACTGGCGAAAGTAGGACATTGCTGCTTCTCACAGGGTCAGGTGAATGCCTGCATTGGTGGCACTTTTGATATGAAAAGAATGAGTTGCAGTGCCTTCATTGCATATCAGCTACAAAATGTCTCATAATCTACAGTATGTAATGTTTTATTGACATTGTCCTCATTCTTATTCATGCTACAAAATGCAGCATGTGAAACCTGAGAGAGTGCAGTTTTGACAAGCTTCCCTTTAAACTTATGGAGTTATGACATAGATTTTTATAACATTTCCTTTTACCTAAAGAGTGAAAAATGAATTGTGGGTGATATGTATTGTCATAGGATGTCAAGGCAGTTGTGACACAAAGCATCCATAGCACATTGACATCTGTTGGAGGGATTCAGGTCCTCTTCCCTCTCTTTTCCCAACTGGATATGCCTTCTGAGATTCATCCATCTCTGATGACTCCTGGTTCCACTTGTGATATGCGACATGACCCACAGCTGTGGTACCTGCATAGTCTCTCTTTTGTTAATGGATGCTTATGCCATTTTCCATGGTAGGCCTTTCATTGCTTGTGGTATGAATGTTGCAGTGGTACTTTACTGGGTTTCCTCTGTGATCTTGTGGAATGGAGTCCAGAAGTGCAAGGTCAGATGGTGTGCTCAAAGGGTTTCCTTGTCATCTCATGGCTTCTTCAAAAGTCCAATCAAGACCACATGTCCATGGAAGTGTTATCATCCTTCTTGCGACTGACTAAATTCCTTGTCACGTGTCCTCATTCTACAGCAGAACCTCTCCTTCGTCAAGTGAGGTTTCCTCCTGCTGTTCTTAGAGATACCAACAAATACCTTGCTCTTATAACTACTGATTTCTCTATTTTCCAGCTTCTGGATCATGTACTTTTCAATCCAGCACTGTGGATATATAGCCCTATCCCAGTGCAGTTGAGACTGTACTCCTACCTCGCTACAGAGTTCCTGTCTGACACCCAAATCTACAACAATGTCAGAAGAATTTCTACAGTTTTGCAGACCATGCACACCCTCAAGTATTATTATTGGGTCATCAATCCTAGGGATAAAAGTGGAGTGAATCCCAAGGGCATAGGTCAGTTTTCCCCAAAATGTAATCTGCATGTTGAGGGTATGAGGTGCAAATAAAACGTTCTAATCATTAAATATTTTCTTAGAGAGGAATTATTATTGTCCTTTGTTGCTGCTTGATGTGTTGGCTACATACTCTGATTTTTATGTTAATCTGGTGATATACAAAGTATTTAAGACTGACTTCTTTGTTTCAGACAGTAAAGAAAAACATAAGGATGTAGAGGGGGGGTATATATTTTTGTGTCTTTCAGAGAAGGAACAAAAGTGGACTTTCATGGTGAGCTGGTAGAGGCTTGTGAATAATGTCAATATGCTCCCAAAGACTACTGTCTATTCATAAATTTGTGCAGGCAAATTTTTCTCTGTTGGATTGTTGTTGGTTCAACATTTTCCCTGGATGTTGCTTATACCCCTAAAGAAAAATATGCTGCTGGTCTCCAAAAGTAGATTTAAAGTTCCAATTTGGGTGCTTGCAGGTACAGAGACTATTTTGAAATATGAGTTAATTCTGAAGGATTCATTGTTATATTTCCAATTAAAAAAATTAATTATCATGACATTTTAAATGCACTCTGTGTCGATTCAAACAGTCTTAATATATTCTGAGGTCACTAAATTACCAGTCTAATAGTCTAATGAAGTAACTCCTAGCATTTGGTTGCTTGACCCATTAGGCAGTAGAACCTAATTACCTCCCCTTGAATAAATTTCATTGCTGCAGAGGGGCGCCGTCCATCAAAGAAGGACGTAGTCTCCATCCGAGCCTACATCCTTCTCTTTGTGAAGCAACTGATTCTGATGGGGGATGGAGTGAAGGAGGATGAATTCCAAGCCATGCTTAACTACCTCTCTACCATGCACGAAGTGGAATCTTTTAATCATATCAAGTTTGTGTTCATTTAAGTGAGATTGTGGAGATGTTTGTATTTGGATTTATGTTCTCAGGACGAGAATCTGCACGATATGCTACAGCTTTTGATAGCACTAATGTCAGAACATCCTGCATCAATGGTCCCAGCATTTGATTCCAAGAATGGCGTGAGGACTGTCTTTAAGTTGCTTGGGAGTGAGACTGATCTTATTCGTCTCCAGGCCCTTAAACTTCTTGGTCTTTTCCTTGCACGATCAACTCACAAGTGGGTTCAACTTGCTGCTACCACTAGCTTTCCAATCATTATCTGTGAAATTTTGTCATGTGGTTTGCCTTGACTGTCATTTCCATTTTCATCTTGAACAGGAGGAAGTTTGATGTCATGAATCCACACAACTTATACACACTTCTTGCTGAGAGACTACTTCTCCATGAAGAAGTTCTCACCATGGCTGTCTACAATGCTCTGTATGAGGTTTGTATCATTTTCTCTCACACACCTTCAAATTAATTCCTTTAGGTTGATGTGGAATGTAGAGATCAAGGCCAAGTGAATTATTTAATGTCCTTGGACAGATACTAACTGAGCAAGTGAGCCAGCAGGTGATCTACTCCAGACATCCTGAGCCAGAATCACATTTCCGATTTGAGAATCCAAGTGAGTATACCTTCCATCCATACATGAGCAGACCAAATGCTTCAGACTGGGTACTTTGTGGCTATCAATAGAAACTTTCTCTTAGTATAATGTTCCTCCAAAGTTGCTGGGTCATGGTTTCACAACATGGTCAAATAGTCAAAATCAAGATTGGGAATGAGGCATTCATGAGTTCCACTATGTATTGCTATCTTTGGAGCTGTTCATCCTAAAAAAATGAGAAGTTCTTGAGTCTAGAGGCTCAAGTCATTCATGCCTCCAAATGAATTAACCCTACACTACATAGTGTGCAAGATATGACACACTTTGCTTTGCATTGAAATGTATTACAGTACAATGGAAAACCAAAACACGAGAGTAATTTTTTCATTATTTTTCTCATCAACCACATGGAAAAATATGATAGTCAAAAATGTTTTTGGTACACTTAAAAAAATTATGTATTGATCATAGGATGAACAGATGCTGAGAAAACACATCGAACCCCGAGGAATATGACATGCAGGCAGCATCACTGATAACACCAGTTTCCTTTTCTGCTTCCCTCAGGCCACTTCATTAATGTGGCATTGTTGATTCTTTAACCCTCCAAGCAGCAGGAAAACCCTCCTAGCCTGTATTAATGTTGCAACTGGGATGTTTGCTGCTTGGAGGGTTAGCCTTACCAAGACAATGTGATTCTTCTTCAAAGTGATTCAGAGTCTGTGATTATTTATATATAGGTATGTAAAAAACTTGGCTAGCACCCTAAAGGAGTGGGCTGGGCTGTTCTACTTATTGACTCAAAAGCTACCCTGGAGGAATGTAGTGTGTCTTGATATTGGTGAATGTTGAAATGTCTTTTGATGAATGTTTATTGAAAAATGACAGGGCTATTTGTATCACTACCATCCTGGCATGAGTGGCTAATGCAGTGCTACTGAAAAGGATCAGTACCTGGGTGTCACTCCTCACTCAATAACGCATATGTCCTCCACGCGCAGCAATGCATGCCTGCAATCGGCATGGCATGCTTTCAAAAAGGTGGTGCACTTTCTGTTGTGGGATTTGCTGCCAGTGGGCCACCAGTCTCAGCTCCAGTTCATGCAGCATCATAGGAGGGTCCAGACAATGATCACGGATGTGATGGCCTAGATTGTCCCACAGATGCTCAATTGGAGAGGGATCCAGGGAGTGATCTGGCCAAGGTAGGGTGGGCACATTGGCACCCTGCAGGAAGTTGGTGGTCACGTGGCACATGTGCAATCTGGCCATATCCTGCTGAAAAGTGCTGGCTGGATCATTCTGAAGGAAGGGCACCAGCACTGGCAGCAGGAGTTCATCCACGTAATGCTGCCCAGTAAGATTCCCATGGATGACTACAAGTTGAGATCAGCCATTGAGGCTAATGGCTCCCCATACCATGACACTGCCTCCACCATAACAGTCATGCTCTGAAATGCTTGTCTCCAGAAACCTCGCAGTCAGCAGGCAATGCACACTCAAATTCACAAAAGCAGGATTCATCTGAGGAAACAATTTCTCCCCACTCTTGAATCCCCCAGTTCTGCTGGGCACGACGCCAATTTAGCCTGGTCTGATGATGGACTGGTCCTAGGGAGATCCTGATGACATGTTGTCTAGATTGCAGTTCCAGCTGGATTGCACACTGGTACACAATCCTCAAAGAAGTCCTTGGGCCTGTCCCCAGCCACCAGTACCTTCCATGAACATGGGTAGAAGTGAATCGGTCTCAGAGAATCTGCATCCTCAAATACCGGTCATCCTTGGGCGGCCTGATCCTCATTGCCATTCATGGTTGGCTCCATTCTGATATTGAGTCCACCAGTGCCGCATGATAGTCACATTTATGCTTAATCAATATGGAACCTGATGCATGCTAAGGCCTGCCTTCATCATGCCAGCTAACTGACCTCAATCGAATTGGTCAAGTTAGCAAAACTGCTGTTGTGGACGTTGTCCTGTCATGGCTTTATAGACTAAAGATAAACGAGTGAAGCAAAAGTGGAGTGGATGGAGGGAAAGCAGAAAAGGAAACTGGTCTGATCATGTAGTCACCCTATTCCCCATCCCTTGGCGACATTTGGCTAACTCTGCAAGTTTTCCCTGCATCGCTTCATCCTATGACCTTGAAACTTTGCTCCATTGTACTAAACATCAGTGGACATTCCTATTTTGCATTTTATTAATAAACTCCTTTTAGATGTTTGTTGTGGGCAATAGGGTGATAAGTACGACCCCTCCTACCCCATTTAAATTAAGATGTTTGGCAAGTTTTTTCTGTGAATATTCCACCTACAACCTTGAAACTCGCATCAATTTCATGACACATTAATATGAGTATGTTTACCAAATTTCATCAAGATCACTCATCTCCTTCTTGGTTTGACTTTTTTTTGCTTTGTGTATCTAATATATATAGATGATCGTGACTGAGTGACTGATGCTAATTCTAACCATGTTCTAGAGGAGTTATACATATATTGGGATGCCAAGTTCAGAAAAAATTAGACTTTGGAGGTACATGCCCAGGGGGCACTCAATTTGGGGGGGAAGATGTTTTCAAAGCTATGTATTTGCTTCAGTCAAACAGAGACATGGAGAGCTGAAACTTGACACAAACATGCATACTGAGGCACTGAGTTTAGGAAAAATGTCAAGTTTCAGATGCATGCCCTGGGGGCATATTTTTGGAAGGTGACGTTTTCAAATATTTTTTTTGTATGGCCAAATTGGGCAGAGATATAGAGGTGAAACTTGACATATGCATTACTGAGGTGATGTTGACTTCAGAAAAAATGCAACTTGTGTGGCGCATACCCTCATGGCACAGCGTTTGGCTAGGTTGCCTTTTCTAAAGATATTTTTGCACCAGCAAAAAGGGCAAACAGAAGGCTGAAACTTGGTAGTTATTTCTCTGAGTACTGATTTCTGTAAACACATTACTTTTTAGGTAACCCCCCCTGAGTGCACATTTTTTTTTGCAGAAGGTGCATTTTCAATAATATTTTTTGATCCAATGAATGAGAGAATTGAAAAAAACTGAAACTTGGAGCAGAAGTACCTGTTCAATTGTTAAGTACAGATCCTACTTTCCAAAAATGCCCCCTCAGGGCAAATTATGAATAGATTTGAAGTTAGGCACACCAGAAATAATCGGAGTAATTATCTAGAAAAAAAAATCAGTTCATCTCATCATGGCACATATTTAGACAAGTACATACTTTTAATACATTTTTGCCACTTTGAAAATGAAATAATGAATTAATCACTATCCTGGACAATGGAGCACCAAGGGCACGACCGTAGCTAGTATATAATATTGCTATAATCTTCAGTAGAAGGTTATATTGGGATCTTCAGGGTCTGTAATCTTCAGTATTTTGTGTCCATTGTGAATTCTCTACTGATGCCAGTATCTGTCAGATGAAAAACCCTCAAACTAAATCACAGATAGTTGGAATCATATTATGATGGGAGGGAATTAATTTACATAATAGTATCCACAATGATCTCTTGATGTAATTCTATTCTTAAAATTTTTGTTTCCTTTGCTAGGATGAAAATGAGAGTTCTGGGTAGGGCAGTTGGACTTTGCTACATTAAGGCCTTATGTGATAAATGGCATGCACTTAATCAAGTTTATGCTCTTGATCTCTCAGTACTTATACTTTAACCCTTTCACATCCAATGACACATTTGTACAGAGGGTTGCTTGTTCCCTATGATAATAATTTTCACACAGCACTTTGCCCATCCTGGTGACATGTTTTCTTTGCCTTGGAGCTTACAACCTGGGTATATATATTGTGTTTCTAGTGAGTTAGTTACTTCACATCAACGAGTCAAATTGCCTTAAAAAATTATCCATGGTGGAAAGGCTATATTACTGCACTTTCTCATGTTACCTATTAATATTCTGCCTTTGTAAAGCAGTGCAAGACAAAAGGCTTCTGCATCTCAGTGAAAGGTGTCCACATTGTTCTCAACTGGATTGGGAAAACTTGAACTGGGATTTGGCAAAAGAGCCAGAAACCACTTGTCTCAGCCACTTCAGAAGTGTACCAAGACCATCTACAATGAAGTCCGACAGAACCCAAGAGAATCCACCAACCCAATGGTTCATGGCTGAGAAAGTTGGAGTGTCAGTGGAAACTATCAACTGCATTATCAGCAAGTATTGGGGACTGACACCACTCTCATTGAAGTGCATCAAGACAAAGCCTCCAGTCACACCTCTGCTTCAATCAAAACTTTCGTCAAGATGATGGAGGAGACAATCAAAATTCATGCCATTCTATTTTCATATATCCCTGTCAAGTCTCTCAATATATCACATGGATTTTTGTGGGTTTGGCCAATGCAAAAGATGCTTGGAAAGAAGGTAGCCAAAGGAGATAAACGGACTCTGGAAAGCTTGCAAAGAAGAGTTGGAGAACATACCTCTAGGTGTACTGAGAAGGAGCCTCTTGAAATGAAGAATCAGATGTTGGTCTATTGTAGGATGCTGGAACATCAAATCGAACATGATGGGTGGTGAAGTAAATATAAGTCAACCCATGAGCATCTTGCTAGTTCATTGCCATTGCAACCAAACAACCCACTGTATGCCATTGATGATGGGTTTATGTGCTGCTCCAGAGCATCTTTGCTATCAGAGGAGCCAGTTAACCCATTGGCCTAACAATTAAAAGCTCTGTTCCTCAGCCCATATTTGTCTGAGATGTGAACATGCATTTATATATATATTGATATTTTTCAGAACGATTATAATGCAATTAGGGAAAAAGTATGCAATTCTTGATGAATTTATTAGAGATACTCACCAGTGCTAAATTATTAATCATACACATGTATGTCTCTATTTTAACTCTAAAATTCTCACAGTCAGACACGAAAGTTGAGCCCTAGGGGTTAATGATGCTCACTAAGAACCAACATATCATCTAATCTTATCAGCAAGCCATATGATACCACCATCACAAACATGTGAATTCCAAAACACCCCTCTTGCCTGCTGTATGATATTCTTAGTCTTAGAAATAAGGTTGCATCATTTCTCTAATTTAATTGCTTATTTTAAGTATATCATGCAAGGAGTGACAAGTACCCTCCAAAACCAAGAGGTATTATATTCTATCCAAAGCTTTTTGTACATGATTGTCAGGAGATTTGCATTATGGATTCCTAGGCCCTTGTATTTGTTTAGTTGATTTGTTTTTGGTTTCAATATGTATTCCAATAGTATGTTTATCTTTCAATTAACAGTGGTGCTGAAGGTTATAGCCTCACTCATTCGACAAGCAAAGCCAGCAGAAAGTGAGGCTGTACATGAAGTGAAAAAGGTTTTTCTATCTGATATGACACTTCTATGCAACAACAATCGAGAAAACCGTCGGACCATTCTCCAAATGTCTGTCTGGCAGGTGAGTTTTAAATTTATTTACCTTGTATTCAGTCCATTCCTTTCCTTGTCTATTTCACAGTGCTGTTGTAACCATACTTTAATAACTTGAATCAAGAATTTGCAACTAACACTTTGTGTTTGGGGTGCATTTTATATGCTCATGTGAAAAAGCTGTGCTTTTTCAAGTGATGTGGTAAATAAGTTGGATTAAAAAAATCCAGGATTGATAATCACAACCGTCTATGTGACCTGTAGGCAAAGTGTTAATGCTTCTGGGGCGTTGTATTGGGTTGGAAAGAAAGTCTTGCAACACTCTGCGCAAATTTTTCAAATTTTTATAACTTTTTTTAAATGCAATTTCAGTCAACAATGTAATGACCATTGCTGTCTATGACATGTTCCCAACGCACGGGTAACTGCTCGATGCCCTTTGCCCAGAACTCTGGCAATTGCGAAGCGAAGAAACGGCCGACATCATTTTCGAGCTGTGCTCGATCGTCGAAGGCCTTGTCCCGCAGGTGATTCTCGATGGCCCGGAACAAGTGATAGTCGGAAGGGGCCAAGTCCGAAGAATACGCTGGATGGGGTAATTTAAATGCAATTTCAGTCAACAATGTAATGACCATTGCTGTCTATGACATGTTCCCAACGCACGGGTAACTGCTCGATGCCCTGTGCCCAGAACTCTGGCAATTGCGAAGCGAAGAAACGGCCGACATCATTTTCGAGCTGTGCTCGATCGTCAAAGGCCTTGTCCCGTGGGTGATTCTTGAGGGCCCGGAACAAGTGATAGTCGGAAGGGGCCAAGTCAGGAGAATATGCTGGATGGGGTAAAACTTCCCAGCCCAGTTCCGAAATCGTCTGGCGAGTCATCTTCGCAGCATGTGGACGAGCGTTGTCATGCAGAAGGAGAACTTTGTTGCGTTTGGGACGCTATTTTTGAATGACGCCAGCCAACTTGTGAAGTTGAGCAGCGTAGACAACGGCAGTCACTGTGGTACCGGTTGGCGTACGTTCATGTGGTGGCAATTCTCCTCGTGGAAGCCACTGACTCTTGCGAGTATGGTTGACGTAGAGGACCCAGCTCTCATCTCCAGTAACGATTTCCTTCAGAAGGTCCTTTCTGTGCGGACGAAGGAGCAGTGATNTCATCGCCAGTAACGATTTCCTTCAGAAGGTCCTTTCTGTGCGGACGAAGGAGCAGTGATTCGCAGACACTGACACAGTTCAGAGTCGCTGAGCTGATGAGGGACCCATGTCAAGTAAACCTTCCAATAGCCGAGGTCATTCAAATGGTTGCTGATGGCCATATGGGTGACTCCAAGTGTAGTTGCCAATTTGCGAGTGGTGGCGTTCGGCTTCATGTTGAGGGCGTTCCTCAGGGCTTCGTCAGAAAGTGTTGCAAGACTTTCTTTCCAACCCAATAGTTTTCATGCTTCATTAGAATAGCCCATTCTCATTCAGATATTGGTTAATACCAATAGTGTTGAGCCTATAGTACTTAAACATGTTAATTCATTGTTGGATCCAGATTATCTGAGATGAAAATGAAAAGCATGTCTATATTTTTAAAGATTGGAAGATGTAAGTGCCACAATAGAGTACATTTTGGAGTAGCTTTGAAATCTTCTGTGATTCCTGTACTTCCTTGAATTGGTTTATGAAATATGCTGTGCCTTATCCAGCAATAGAGGCAAGGTCTTCAGAGCATTCAAGACAGGAAACTAAATATTTTTTTGCATTAGTGTTTATTCATCTCAAGTTTTTTATGCGGAGCTTACCATGTGGAAGTGGGTAATATCCAGTGACAGTGGAGCATTGATGTGTCAAACTTCCCAATAGGAATGGCTGATAGCAATGGCTTACATCCACCCAAAGAACGAAGAAGAGGAGAAACTGAGTGATATGGTGTATTCCCTCTTCCGTATGCTGCTCCATCATGCCATTAAGTATGAATATGGTGGCTGGAGGGTCTGGGTTGATACCCTGGCTATTGTCCATTCAAAGGTGAGAATAAAAATTTGTACCCAGTATTCTAGTATTCCTCCCAGAACTTGTTCTTCTGCTCATCTTCAATCTATTTGAAATTAATGCATCTCCCTAGAGGCTACCTCTAAGGACCTGCTATCACTTCAATCTAAAAAGGAAAGGTGCTGTAACACTTGGCAGGAGTATATTTTTGTATTGGCTCTCTGGTTGTCTACCAGAATATACTGTATGGCATATCCCAGAAAACATGCATAATCACATGGACATGCTGGAACAACTATACCCATTCACAATAATGAGGATCTGAAGGCCAGCTTCATAGGTGCTTGTGCCTTGATCTCTCTTGACATGTACTGGAATATGCAGTATGCCTGGACTGACCACCTTGCATTCTGTTGAGACTTTCAAGTTGCATACATTGAATATTTGCTGGTGTGCAGCTGTCGAGGCCAGTCGGTGATGTATTCATTATTATTCTCGATGATGATGGTTTCTGGTATGGTTTTGTTTTCTAGGATATACTGTACTTTGTGACAGTGTATTTCTGTGAATCTCCATAATAGGACTATTAAGTCATGTAGGTGAGAAATGGAAATATAGGGTGGCCCAAAAAATGTGTACCCACTCTTTCAGTCGTAATTTTGTCATAATTGTCATTTAAATCTTTAAATGCTTGTGGCTGCCAATTTGAGCATCTCCAGTGAACCAAAAGTGTATGAAGAGATAAAAGATTGTATTATATATTAATAAATAAGTAATGTTAACATGTGATTTTATTTCCTTCAGTTATGCAGTTATTCAAAATGTGAGTACATTTTTTCAGGCCACCCTATATGTTGGGCAATTCAATTAAATACCTAATTAAATATGCAGGGATGATCAGTGGGCACTGACAATACTGACCTCACTGACAGGATATAGCTTCAGACCAGACATAGATCAGCAATTTTTTACTTTTTTTTTCTATTTGGTATGCAACACCTCTTCTTTCTCTTTCAATCCAGGTCGCCCGTGAAGAGTTCAAGCTCCAATATTCAGAGATGTATAGAATGTATGAGAGCAGACGAGCTGACAATATTGCTGATCCAACCATGCGACAACAACATCCAATTAGCACCATTTCTGGGCTGGAACAAGGATATTCTGGTAGGGCTGCACACACACATGTAATCCATGCTGTCGCAAATGGATCACAAAATGATAGAGAACTAGCAGATGAAGATGCAGAGAAGCAAGGAATTGTTGAAGTGGAGGAGGAACAAAAATTACAAGAACTAAACACAAAATCAGGAGTAGATAACAAGAGGCAAGAAAATGCTGAAGAAAGAGAAGGAAGAGAAGTTGAATCAGACCAAAGGGAGATCAGGAAAGAAGAAGAATGTGGGAGTGTGAAAGATAACTTGGAAGAGTCTGAACACACAGGTATAGAGACTGAGCAAATGGATCTGCATACAATTGAGCAGGACATACCTGAACATGTGAGTGAAAAGGATGAAGCAGCCAATGAGCATTCAGAGAATATTGAAGCAGTGGTAGAACAAACACTTGAAAAGGATGAGGAAGCAGCTGGTCACATGATTGATCATAATGAGGAAGTCATTGATCAGATCAGTGAGAAGAATGACTTGGGTGAAGATGGGAACAACAATGAAAAGGAGGAAGGAAGCACAGAAATAGTAGAGGAGGAAAAGGAAGAAACTCCTGAAAGCAAGGAAGTAGGAAGCTTTATGGCCCAAGATGATGAGGAGAAGCCTGGGAATGAAATTTGTGAAGAAGAGAGGAAGATTGAAGTATCCTATATAGACTATGTAGGAAACCAGAGTAAAGAAGTAGATGAAGAGAAGAAAATTGATGGAGAAGGAGGAGGAATAGAAACCAAAGAGGAGAAAAGAGATGATAATGCAGATATTGCACCAACCAGGAGAATGGAGAGGAGGAAAAAGCCTCCTCAGCAGTTGTCACAAAGCGATTCAAAACATACCACTAAAGGTATCAATTTCTCTTCCTTAGTTAACTCCACTAACTTAAGGCTACATATAATTAAATGCATTTTTCATCATGACCATCATTAATTCACCAGTTTGTGAGAAGCTTCTGCATGCACAATTTTTAATTCCTTTATCAGGTAGAGGAGGAAATAGTAATTCACGGCAGATGTTTAGCCCGGGCCCTTCTCAACCTCCTTTCCGCATTCCTGAATTCAAATGGTCTCACATCCACCAGAGGATGCTCAATGATATCCTCTTCTCATTGGAGGCAGACCTCCATGTTTGGCGAAGGTGAGAAGTAGGTGTAGTTTAAGAACCATGAATGTTTTCCTTCCTAGATATGGTTACATCCATTCTCATCTCTATTGATACTGGTATGCCTTCTTTGTCTGATGTTCCCACAAAAGTGGTAATTGAGTGGAACTGCAAGACATCCTTTTGAATGTTCTTGAATCCCATAGCTCAGTCTCCACTGTGAACTCAGAAGCATTTCAAGTGTTTATCAGAAATGAGTTGAAAATGTTCTCTTCTGCACAGTACATATTTTCCCTCCATTAAATATTAAAAGAAAATATAAATTAAATCACATTGGCTTTCTGATACTATAATCAATTTCCTTTCATTGACCTGCAGTAGTAACTCAAGCAAAACAGTGCTTGAGTTTGTCAACAGTGGTGAGAATGCCATCTTTGTCATCAATACTGTGCACTTGATCTCTCAATTGGTGGACAACTTGATCATAGCCTGTGGTGGACTGCTTCCTCTCCTGGCAGCTGCAACTTCTCCAACTGTATGTTATACTTGACTCAAATAGTATTTTATGAAACTCACTAAAAATCTGCTTATGGAAATGCATATTCATGTGACTCTTTTGCACTCCTCCTCTAGTGTGAATTGGATGTGGTGGAACCAACCCAAGGGCTCACAGTTGAACTGGCTGTGTCTTTCCTGCATCGCCTAGTCACCATGGCTGATATCCTTGTCTTTGCATCCAGTCTCAATTTTGCTGAATTAGAGCAGGAGAAGCACATGGCAGCAGGGGGTATACTTCGACAGTGCCTCCGCATGGTTTGTATAATTTATCCTCATGAGCAGGGTTGTGATCGGCAGTTTAGAATTTTGTCATTGCAATAACCACTAGGGTTCAGGGCCCCATGATGAGTAAACTCTTAGTGCCTTTGGTTTACAAGGCTGTGCATGTCACACACATCTATTGGGGGTGGACCTAGACAAGAGCTTGTCATGTGGGATTCAAGTGCTGGTGGTGCTCTCATTGTGGGGCTTGAGTTGACAGCCTGTAAAGTTCAGTCCAGTGGAATGGTCAAGTACAAAAGTGCTGGGTTTTCTCACTCCTCCATAGAGGAACCCTCCACAAGTATAATGGGTGAGTTAAAGTTGCACATCAATGCAACCAGCTCAAAAGGGAGACACCACTTTGAGTAATCAGTCATTGATGTAATTCTTGAGAAAACAATTCTTCATTTAACTGCAAGAACATTAGCACATACAGAAACAATGATTTTAGCTGAAGGAGAGAGGTGACTGGATCATCTTTTAAGGATGAGATGCATGAATGCAGAAAAATGGGGGCCAGCATGGACATGGACACATGAAAGCAATAACTGTGGACAAAATAGGAAATGGTGCAAATTTGTGTCAGAGAAACTGCAGGGGAAGTTACATTCCCATTAGAATAATTGACCTCAACAAACCAAAGGAGGATGAATAGGTAGAGGCCTTGTGCCAGCAGGGGACCTTGTCTCTACTCTGCTCACTCTGTAAGGATTTGCAGGAACATCTGGATAATGCAGAGTGACTTCTATCTTCATACATTGAGAAGTGAATAAGAATTGGTTTTGTTGCAGGTACTTATTGACTGACCATTTTATACCCTCTGTATTTGTCATGAATCCAAACAGTGCATTCACATTAAAATATAATTTCAAAAGAGTAGTGATTAATGATGCTGAGGATGATTTCAATGAGTAGTTGAATAAATAAATGCTAATGGTGTATGATAAAATCATACTCAAGTCCTATAATACTGTACTATGACCTGCCTCTCTCAGGCATGGTTTCACCTGAGTGATATCACATCTCTCTTCTTAAGTGTTCTGCTAATTGGCAGGTCTGTCCATCCATCCATCCATCTTTTCCATTATAATCTGTTCTCAGTCCTTCTCTTCATTTCTACAAATGACCCTTCCTTTAGTTCCTCCAGCATGCCAATTCTTTTTCTTCCTCTAGGTCTTTTCCCTTTCATTCTTTCTTCTTGCAATTATTTTCACTAGTCCTCTTTTTTTCCCAACAACTTCCAGTACTCCATCATTTGTTCTTTAATGTATCCAGCTTATTTGCTCCATCCTTCTCCACACCCACATTTCAAAAGCCTCTAACCTTCTGATGTCTTCCTTCTTCAAAGTCCATGCTCCTGACCCATAAAAAGCCACACTCTGCACCACTGCCTTCACTATCTTTTTCTTCACCTCTTGGCTCATCCTCTATGTTAATAACTCCTTTCTCTTGCTAAAAGCATCCTTTGCCATTCTCATTCTTGCTCTGATCTCCACCTCACACTTTCCATCATCTATGATCAAAGCTCCTAAGTACTTAAACTTTTTCGTCTGTTCCACTTTCTGTCCATCAACCACAAAGTTAATTATTCCTCCTCCTTCCTAGACATTTTCATCACCTTTGTCTTCTTCCCATTGATATTCATATCAAACTTCTTGGCCACTGCGTTTAACCTATCCACCAATTTCTGAAGTCCTTGTTCTGTGCTCACCACCATGCCTTGGTCATCTGCAAACCGTATATCCTTCAACAGCTATCACCTGGCTTTCACACCTTCCTCAATCCCTTCAATTGCCTCATTCATCATCTTCTCTGCATAAATTGAGAATAAAATTGGAGATAAAGGGCATACTTGTCTAACTCCTTTGCTAACATCTTCTCTATGGAAGAGTAAAAACCACTGCAGCATTCTGTTAAGTAGAAAATTGTGAATCCCATTCATAATCAAAAGTATTGGCAGATATGCAGAAGTCTGAAATGAATGATTGACTGAACCTTCTTGCCTTCCTTTCAATGAATTTATTGTGATTCATGCAACTTAAAAAAATATTTCCTACATCAGGTATGTACAGTAGCCGTAAGGAATTGCCTGGAATGTCGAGAGCAGGCTCGGCTTTGCAATGGGGAGATGACTCCTCAGGATTCCCGCTATCAACATATTCATGCTCTCATCAGAGGTGTTCAGGTATCGCCTGAGGTCAGTTATGTTGGCTGCAGTTTTCTTACTCTGCAGTCTGAAATATTTGTGTGAAATTTATCTTTCCAATCATTTCAGAACATTGTGGAAGGAGGACAGCTACTGTCACCTGTCAAAGATCCTGAGAAACTTCTGCAAGAGATGGATATCAATCGCCTGAGAGCAGCTCTCTATCGGGATGTTGTATGTCTTTTTCATCATACATTCAAGCATCCCAGAACTTGATGCACATCAGATGTATTCATGAATTCATACTTTTTAGGAGGAGACAAAGCAAGCCCAATTCCTGGCTCTTGCCATCGTCTACTTTCTCTCAGTTCTCATGGTGTCTAAGTACCGAGACATCCTGGAGCCTCCTGGTCCAATCGCCAGCAATCAATCCTCTCCGTCACGTCATGTAGAACCATCTCAGCCACATCAAGGTAGGCATAGCCCCATCACTGTTTGCATTGAGTTGGATCCTGTACATCTTATCTCTCTAAGCTAAAATTAGTTTTAATAATTTTGAATATTATTATTTACCCTCACACAATATGCTCTTCTCATTCTTGTCCTATCTCCTCCTTAGGTATGCCTCAATAATTGTAGGCCATTATTGCTCTTTTGGACCAGTTAATTCAACTCAGTTTGACTGACAGTAGAAAAGTGTAGCACTGATGTATTGCAATAATGAGGCACCTAATGAAGCTAATTTCCTCCAATAGTAAATGATTCATTGATTTTCTTATCTTCCATAGACTACTAAACTCAGACTGTTACTGTCACATAATTCTTGACTGTAGAAGGTTAATGTAGGAGACTCTTAGTTCATAAAACAGAGGTTCAGGATTCAGATTCAGATTTTTCTGTTCCAACCAATTAACCAACCAGGCAACCAGCCCTCAACGGGAAAGAGTCGTGACCTAACATCTTGTGTTCTGGTTGGATGATACTTTTTCTTGTTTGAATCATGCCAGATTGGATGTGCACACTCCTGTAGCTTGGAGATAGAAGCTGGGGTTCAATCTATTACAATTACAATTTGCCTGCATATTTCTGCTGGACATGCCAATCAAGTTAGATTTTTGTACAAATGACCTAACTCTGTGAATATAGCAATTGCTTCAAATGGTGATCAACCAGAGATGGAGGCTGCAACCATAGCAGGACATAATGGAGGATTGGATGCCAGTACACCTCATCTTGAAGAAGTGAGTATGGAGAGAGGTTAATCATCAGCAAAAGAAGTCTTTGTGATACAATATGTCATGCATTCATCTGAACATTTGGTATAGGGAATAAGAGGTCAGCATCACAAAAATGATCAGGTAGGTGGAAATCAAAAGGAAGAGAGCAAGGTGGAAGGAAGTGGGAGGGATATGAATGGGGAGAAAAAAGAGAAAGAGGAAGAAGAGGAGTATGAGGATGAAGCAGATGAAGATGAGGAAGGAGAAGAAGGTGGGAAGTGGACAGATGTGAGCCTAGATGAAGCAGGAGAAAGTCAGAAGAGAAGTGAGTTTCATAGGCTCTTCACTTGACCCTCCATTGTCTCTTGTTTCTTTGAGGATCTATTTCCACATGTTTTATATGTGACAGGGGAGGGAAATGAAGGAGGGAAAGATGTCAGTAATGAAGATCAGGGGATTGAAAATGGGAAAGAGATGGGAAGTAAGATATTGGCCCTGGGAGTGAATAGGAGTACAGGAACATTGATGGTACCAGCTGCTGAACGAGAAGCATCTCTCACACAGCAGTTAGAAAGAGCACTTGGACCCGTGTGCCCTCTCCTCAAAGAGATCATGCTAGACTTTTCTCCCTTCCTCTCAAAGACTCTCCTTGGATCTCATGGTCAAGAGTTGTTGTCTGAAGGGAAAGGATTGACAACGTTCAAGATAAGCCAGTCGGCTGTGGAATTGGTCATGCTTCTATGTTCCCAAGAATGGCAGAACTCCCTCCAAAAACATGCTGGCCTTGCTTTCATTGAACTCATCAATGAAGGGAGGTAGGGGCCTTTCTAATTGAACAGATCTGATTGGTTTTTCGCCATTATGCATTGGTCTGTTGCATTATGCTATTGGCATGCTGTCTCCTTTCAGGCTTCTTTCACATGCCATGAAAGATCACATTGTGAGGGTGGCCAATGAGGCTGACTTCATTCTCAGTCGAATGAGAGCAGATGATGTCCTCAAGCATGCTGAATTTGAAGTGAGATGCAGTTTTCAGTTTCCCCATTCAGAATTTTGGTTTGTTGCATTTACCCCCATCAACATTCTTTTGATTTGGAATTGTAGAGTCAGTGTGCTGGGACACTTTTGGAGAGGAAGGAGGAAGAGAAGCTTTGTGATCACTTGATTTCAGCTGCCAGAAGGAGGGATGCTCTAACTGCTGCCCGCATTCAAGACAAAGTCCTCCATACCATGACTTCTGATTATGGTGCTTGGACTGAACCAAAGTATGTCACATTTGTTCTATCTTCATAGCCAGTGTTACTGCTTCACAGCAGGGCCCAGATCTATGTAAGGGGAAGCAATGATACCCTTGAAGTATTTATTTGAGACAGCCTCCAGAGATTAGCATGGAACAAAGTGAACTCATGATGGAGATTATTGAATTTTGATCATTTAGAGTAGGTTGGAAAGAGGAGTGCATCATTAGAATCTCCAGAGATCATTCCAACTAGATTCACCCCATGCATTTGTCAAAATTGATTCTTCAGATTTTTTAGCTATTTTAGCAGAGGGCATAATATTACCCTCTGTATCTGTGATCATGTTGGTGCAAGGGTATTTAATTAGTTCAAGCAGTTAAAAAAAAAAAATAGGTGGCAATCAATGAAAACATGAAATTTAGTGTTTCTATTATGAATCTGCCATTATTGGAAGAAGTAGTTCATCCAAGGTTTGCTGGCTACATGTAGCAGTTACTTGACCCCTGATTTTGGTTTCCAGGCTGTCATTACAGATTTTAACATTAATCAAAGTCTTTCCAGCTCTTTTGGAATTTCTACCTGTGGATTAGGAACACTTTTCCTGGAGGACAAGTGTCCCTCAACCTCAGGCAGAAATTCCCCCCCCTTTTTCCTTCCCACCTTGCATCTTATGAACCACTAAGATAAGATGGTTGAACTATGCTTGATAACAATATCTGACCACATGACAAAATAAACAGGAGGAAAACATGCATGGAATATGGGATTTGGCTCTGATTTTTGAGATTTGATCACATTATCCAGATGAATCCATCAATGTTCACAATAACTTGTAGGTAAAGTAGGGTAGAGGCATCAGTTCAAAGACAAGTGCCTGTTTGCAGATAATTTTGTATCTTCCTGTTCCTAAATATGTTCCTAAAAAAAAAAAAAACTTGCACAGAACATTCATATTCTTGACAACTTGAAAAAAAAAAACAACCTTTTTCTGTTTGCCAAGATACATATTCAGGTTTGTGTAGTGTTAGACTGAGTATGTTCTCAGGCTCTGGCCATTCACCATTTCTAGATTATTTCACTGCTATTTATGCATGTAACCTCTAACTTCATTAGTTATCATGATATGACAATTTTTTGCATAACAGTGAAAGGGTTAAACTCATTTTGGCTTATTCTGGCTTAATTTCTGGTGTGAATTTCCTAGGATGCAGCCAATGCTAAATTGTCAGTTAGGGTAGAGGTGCCAGTCTGGGAACTGGCACCTCTACCCTATTTTTAGTAGGAGTCTCTGAATTTCCTAAAACTCCTGTCCAGTATTGGCTTCTGAGCTCAGGAGGTTAGTATCCTTTCCAACAAAAATATAATCCATAGGGACCTGAATTGATATGACTCATTATCATTAAAGAAGGCACTGTATAAAGGCAAAAGCCTGAAAAGTTTTCCCTTGTCTCTCTGGTAGTTTTGCCTTCCCCTTCCCTTTACCTTGCACTCCTCTATTGCTTGTTGCACTGGATGACTTTAGGGGATATGGGGACTTCAGTTTATGTTCAGAATAAAAAGGTGAGACTGTTTCTATGTCATGGTCCCAAATGACTGTTGAAATTATTCATCTGGATTAGGATCCTACTTCAAGTCTCTTATTTTCAAAAATTAAAATGCAAAAAAATGAAAATTTTCACAGTGTGAGGAAAGGGAGTGGGAGGCTTTGCTCCTATATGTGAAAATACAGTACGAGGGCCACTCAATAAGTTATCTACCTGAATATGAAAGGGATGAGAAACAGGCCTGTGCCTGCTGTGACATGTCTTGACAGGTCTCGTGAGTGCCCCACCACTATACCAGCTCAGTGGCTCAAGTCCGTTCAAAGTGGTAGCACATTAGATTTCTTTTCCTGAGTCTGTGTCATGGATTTGACGAAAGTTGAACATCATTCAGTGATCAAATTCCTCACCAAAGAAGGGAAAGCACCTAAGGAGATTCATGAATGTATGTCTAACGTTTATGGTGTGTCTTCGCCTTCTTATTACCAAGTTAAATTTTGGAGCAAGCAGTTTAAGTGGGGAAGAGAGTCAATCGAAGATGACCCAAGGTCGGGGTGCCCCGTGGAGGCTTCTGATCAGGAAATGTGTGACAAATTGGAGAGTGCGATACTGGAGGATCGTTGCACCAAAGTCTCTGTTTTAGCTCATGAACTGGGGATTTCAGAGGGCACAGTGATTCACATTATTCATGAAAAATTACACATGTCCAAAGTCAGTTCTCGATGGGTCCCAAGAATGCTGACTCCAGCTCAGAAGAAGAACAGATCTGACATCTGCAAGGAAAACTTGGAGTTTTCTAAACAAATCGGGGAAACTTTTTTTCCCAGAATAGTAACTGGTGATGAAACTTGGGTTCATCACTGGGATCCCGAAACCAAGCAGGAGTCCATGCAGTGGAAGCACAAGGGATCGCCAACGCCTCGCAAATTTCGTGTTCAGAAATCTGCAGGAAAGATTATGGCCACTGTGTTTTGGGACAGCGAGGGACTACTGCTGCTTGAGTTCATGCCAGACGAGTGTACAATCACTGGCGATTCCTATGCTACCACCATGAAAAATTTACATGATGCCATCAAGGAAAAACGCAGAGGAAAGTTGTCAAGGGGGGTCCTTCTTCTCCATGACAACGCGCCCGTCCACAAATCATGGAAAGTTCAGGCAGCAGTGAGGGAGTGTGGCTTTCAGGAGCTCAACCATCCTCCCTACAGCCCGGATCTGGCTCCTAGTGACTATTTTCTGTTCAGACACTTGAAAAAATTTTTGCGGGGAAAAAGATTTTCACGCAATGAAGAGCTGAAAGTTGCTGTTTCTGATTGGTTTGATGGACAAGAAGTTGACTTCTATTCCCAGGGAATAAAATCCTTGAAATCAATGTGGAATCAGTGTGTTGAGTTAAAAGGTGACTACATTGAAAAATAAAGTGTTATTTTTCTCCTCGGATGTTTCTTATTCAGGTAGATTACTTATTGAGTGACCCTCGTATGTGTCACTGCTGTGGAGGTGGTTCTCCTTGTAACTATCAAAATAGAATATCTTATGGGAATCTCTTCACCCTAGGAAAATCTACATGAAGCTGGATGTTTGGGAAGATGATGCAAGGAGAAGGAAGCGTTTTGTCCACAATCCTCTTGGGTCTTCTCACCCAGAGGCTACATTGAAGGCTGCCTTGGAACATGGTGCTCCAGAAGATGCCATTCTCCAAGCCCAAGAAGCTTTCCATGCTCATCTTGCTGCTCAAAGGAATGCAAATGCACAAGCCCTTCAATCTCCTGATCTTCTGGATGATTCTGAATTCATTTCAGCAGATGATCGAGATTTTGATTCTGATCCTGTTGGTGAGGGATTGTCTTTTCCCAACCACCTATAATATTCTATTAGTGAGTTAGCAAGGTTATTTTATGTTTTTGCCTTTCCTCTCTCCAACAGGAGCAGCTAATGTATCAGTTCCAGCACGCCTTGTAGCACCTGGCCTTGTAGTCCCTGGCACATTCTCTATCACAAACACAGAATTTTATTTTGAAGCTGATGAAGAAGATCCAGAATTTAAGAAGCTTGACCCACAGGTGAGTCTTTTTTTTTTTTTTGCTTTCTCCTATTAAGTCAGTGTATAATACATTTACATAGGTCTATAAATAAATAGACAACATAGTCACTTCAGTCCAAGAGGATTATACATAACTGTGGAAGATTACTCAATCTGAATCTAAAACCAATCATCAGAAGTTTTAAGATTTTTGAGAATCAACTGTTTAAGTTGATTTCATGCAGTGCTTGAAAATGCTAGGATGAGCTAAATTATTTCAACTTAGAAGTTAAAACTCAGTTTGAAAGCTAGACTAGGTACAAACTTTTTTCAACTTGAGATGGTACTGCAGCATATACATAAGGTCTAGTTCAGCAATCTTGAAACCAGCAAGAAACATGCTTTTGTTGTTGATCTTGAATCAAGTTTCAATGAGCAAAATTATCAACAGTAATGGTGACACCAAGTTTTAGGTGCCAATATAATTTTTTTGTTACAAAAGGTGCAATTGTGAAGCACTTGTTTCATGTTTACTGATCCTGAAAAAGAAGGTAAAATTGAATTTTTGCCAACTTTGTTTACTGCTGGATAACTGAAGAGTTGGGGCATCCGTGAACAAAAAAGAATACTAGAACCCAGGCATTATTATTCCTGGTTGATGCCTTCATTGAAAGTGAAAAGGTATTTATTATCAATATAAGTTTACTTTATGGGGTTCTGGTGTATCAGAATTGGAACGTACCGTTAACCCTGGTATTTGCACAGCCCTAGAACTGTGAATATGTATCATTTCGAACGTGGACTTGCTACAAATACAAATACTTGCTACAAAGCAAATGCTATAAATGCTCCCAAGAAGAGGCTATGCATGAAACTTCGCTTGGTTAAAAAAAAAAAAAAACGAAAAGTTTCATTATGGAAATTTGGCGTACTTCTCGTGCAATCATTACTTTTGGAATATATCAGCAAATATCAGAATCCCATTCTCTCTTCGTGGATGAAGGATCCACAAAAGTGGGCCCCAAATCAGAAAGGGAAAACAGTGCCTTGTGGTTGGGCTAATTACTCCGGAAAGCAAATCCCACCTGGCCTCAGCTGACAGCTTCTAGACTAGGAGGATTCATGATTAATTCATGAGAGCCAGATGTCATACCTTTCTGCTCCCTCTGTCTTCACTTCCTTTGTCATTTGTCTTGTGGCCTGGCCACAATTATTTCACGAGATGGGTCCAGCTCAAAAAGGGACTGGGCCTTCTGATTCTTTGACGCTATACTGTGAAAACTCTTGTTATAATTTTATATGTAAAGTATAATGTCTAATTTTATATGTAATTTTATGTTAATTTTATATCTATTTTTCTTAATTTATTCCAACTACATATTTTTATGATTCCTTTGTCATGCCTGCAACACTGTGTTGTCAAAGATTGATAATCATAAGATGTATAGTTTATTAGCTGCCATTTCGATTTGATTAACTGACTTATTCGTCCATTAATGTTTTAATCCTAATAAATCTCATTTTAATTTTCCTTCAGATTGACCTCAAAAGCATGTGTTTCTCTCAGTGTCACGACATAATGTACGGACTTGGGAAAGAACAAAAAGGAAAATGTAACGATTGCAATCCGATGACATGATGGCTTGTAGAAGGCAGTCGTTTTTGCTTTGCTCACTATTCAGTGTATTTGTATATGTACCGCATTTTTTTTGGTAAGAAAAACACCCAAGAACAGAATGTAACGCTGTTAAGATACGACAAAGGCGCAAGAACCTTGCGGAGTAGAAAAGAGTGCCTTCGTCCTTCAGTCGACAGTCTGGGGAAGTAGGGAGGGAAAAGCTAGGGCCCGAACAAAATTTTATTATTCGAGTAAATATCCTACGATTAACCGATTTAAAGACACGTTAAATCGGTTTATTAGAAAACCAATCAATAGCCCTAATACTTCGAATAGATCTTCCAAATATTTGATTAACTGTGATCCATTTAACAAATGCTGTGAACAGTCATATGATAGAGAGGATGCAGTGAAGCCTCTCTTGTTTGGTTTGAGCTTATTGCTTCTGCTGCTCCTGGATATCTTGAACTTTATTATTCCAGATTACTTGCACATACAGTATATATTTAATTACATTGGTCTCCTTACATCAATTCCCGACTTGAATTTCATCATTTGAGAGGTCACAGCTCAGGTTTGCCTTCGACAGAGCAGGTTTTTGGGTTCTCAATCCGTCGGATGCACGTGCAGAGGGTGCGAATACTGCTGTCTGACTCAATCTACGAGGTATAAACAGACCCTTGTCATGAAAGCATGCAAATTTTGGCCTACGGCGTCTGGAAAAATGTATTCGAATCGAACATATCTTTACAGATAATATGAAGCCATAATCTACTGTTGTGACTCCCAGTCGTAAATCGTATTTGGTGCAAAAAAAAAAGAAGAGGAAAGGTAGTGACTTTGGAAGGGCTGCGTGCATGCATATTCATAGTGCTCCTCTCCTTCCTGCATGAGATGGTTTACTTCCTCTCTGGAGGAGGAGGAACCTGTAATTATCCTCTCATTAACTCATCACCTGTCCCCCTTAATTACCCCATGTAATTGCCTAGGGGGCTGTCAGGGGGATATCACTTCCAGTGGGAAAGTTGATTTTGCATAGCTCTTCATCTTTTCCTTCGACCACGAGGAACTCCTGAGCGTTTCGTGAACAGGGCGCAGAGGGGAGAGAAACTGGAGCTGCTGGGCCATAAAGAATGATAGAAGGAACACGCTCTCTCTCACTTTGCATGGGGTCTTGTCTGGTCTGGACCTAGGGGGAAGGGAAGGGAAGAATCCATTTCATTCCATTCCATTCCTTTCCCCATCCCCATCCCCCATGCAACCTGTCAGAGGTCTCCAAGCAAATAGCCCTCGTGGCGCCCTCATTCTATTTATGTTCCACTCTCCAGCCAGATTCCCTCATACTGGACTTCCAGTGAGACTCCAGGTTTTGTAACGTCATTTTGCAGAGGGCATTTAGATCCTATATTGAATGTAAGGGAGGAAAAGACAAGAAAGGAAGGAAGGAAGAAAAAGGAACGAGAGGCAGGCTTGCTTGTTGGAGGATTACAAATGTGGTCACATTCCTGGCTGGGCAGGGGAGGGGGATAATTATTTCTTTTAAACCCAGTATTTAGAGGCTCATTCATCAGTCCATTGTGGGTGGGCTATCTCTCGATGCTCGTTGTAGGTCCAGCCAGGTCTCATCTTGTCATCAAGCCTGTCATCATCTCCATAATCATCATCCTCCTCTTCCCCTCTTCCTCTCTTTCCCTCTCTATGATCTATGGCTCTCTTCACCAGTCATCCCCCCTCCCTCCCTTTCCGTGTGGATTTATACATGTGTGTGTGACATTAGATTGTTCATGAAAAGTAAACACTGGGACCCACCTCCCTCATAACCAGGACCTGATGAACGATCCCTAGTCATCTTTCAGCGCTGAAACCGAGACGGTTTTCACTCCCTTGCCTCTCAGCCTGTCTCCTTTCTTCTTCCGCGTCTTCATTCTACGAGGTAGCCAACGTGATGGATGTGTTCTTGGAGAGCGTTTACTACTCCGTCTTATATTCGCGCGAACCAATTGCCAGGCATCACTAGCCAGTAGAAGTGCATCCTTTGGATGAACTCCCGAAACGCCCCATGCAATGGCGTCACGATCCAAATGGTTCACAATTCTTACTGAGGCCTTCATCAGGAGCTCGAATGCAGCTGCTTTCAGCAAAGTCGACGAAGGCTTATAAGGGTCTAAGGTCTAAGTCATATAAGACCCGATCAATGCGTCTTTAAAATTTTCACGAGCTCCTCTGTTTCTCGCAGAGCATTGGATTGAGTCAATATGATCAATGGCATATGCACTGTATGTCAGGCCTTGTATACACAGTAATAACAAGAGAGGATGAATGGAGGCATGCACGGTAATCACTCATTCAAAAGATGGCTTGAGAGGGGGAGGGGAGGAAAAAAAATAGGAAACGGGAAAGAGAAAAGGCTTGAGGGAAGGCAAAGGAGGGAGTGGCCTTCGTACCGTTTCAACTCCGGATGAGATGAGATGAGGTGATATTATGGCTGACATGGCAGAAGAGAAAGAATTCCTTTTCTTTTCCTTCCTTATCTTTTCTTTGTCTGTCTACCCTGGCTAGATCCATTTTATTGCCTCCCCGTCTGTCCCGTCGTGCCCCTAAAGCGCCTATCATGGTCAGCATCTTTTCTCCTTCAGGACTTTCCACATTTGCATTTCTTGCTGAGATGTGAATGAGGGGATTTGAACCGAAACAGTCTTTCGCCATTTCCATGATAACTGTCGAGTGTAGACCCCCCCCCCTCCCCGCTCATGTCCCGCTCATCACTCACTGACAAGACAATCCTGGGCGAAAACGCACTCGTGCCAATTCCACCGCCTGACGCAGGAGGGGACCTCAGTCTTGGCCTCAAAATCCCTTCAAAGCAATGCTTTCTTTCCAGCCTCTTTGAGCTTAGTGTAGAAAAATACAGATGTCTCAAGAGGGTTAAGAAATTCCGTCAGTCTCAGGGAAAGTGGCATTCCCCAATGGACGATTGTGAACATGACCTCACTTTAAAACCGTTGTGGGTTTGGAAGAGGAAGCAAGATGAGTGAAGGAAAATGATACAGTAAATGGAGGATGTTTGTGGAACTGTGGCTGTGGGAGGGAGGTAAATTAGACTGGCAGGGCCCTGGAGGGCTGGTCAGTCTGTCTGCAGTGTTTACCCAAAGCGCAGCAGGGGATGGCCAATGATTATGATGACCACCCAGCGTAGAACCCAACCGACCCCCTCTACCTGTCAGCAGCTCGCTCTGTCTTCTTCCTTTTTTCAATCACCCTCATCAACCCATCATCATCATCGAGTTCGCATGGAGTAGGGAACGTGAGGGAAGGGGAGGAGGAAAAAGAATGAAAGGGATGCAGGAGACCCCCTGATGGGGAAAGAGCTGAATACAATGAATGTCCCTATGTCTGGGATATATGCCTCTATGCTGATCTCCTTCTTGGCTAAATTATAATTGCCCTCCTCCCTTGATCAATGGCTTCATGCTAAAGAGGCAAGGAAGCATACATCATTTCCCCCTCCGGCGATGAGCCTGGCTTGTTCTGTTACTTTCCAGAACCAGACATAGCATCAGTCGTGGTATTCTCTGGAATTGATGCATTCGCCACTCGGGTTTGGGCTTAGGAACAGAAACAGAAACAAAAGAAAGAGGGAGGAAGAAGTGAGGCGCCTAATATTTCATGGTTGTTGTAAACCTGGGAAGTGGCTGGCGGGGGTGGAAGGAGGAGGGCAAGACATAATTCTTCCTTCCCACCCCCGATGTCTTTCCCTTAACTGTCTCTTTTCTTTCTCTCTCTTCCCCTCAAAAAAATGAATGACCCTCTAATAGACTCATCGACTCTCTCCGTCGCATTCAGTCTCCTTTCTCTCTTCCTGTCTCTTTAACGCCATAAAAAGTCTAGGAATCAAACTTTCAGAAGCTAGCCATATATGAGACAGTTTCTGGTTGTATGTGCCTAAAATAATGAAGGTTCAAGTGGTCGAATACAATGATCAAGTGTCTTCATGCGGATCATGAAGTATCCTCGCGGTATTGAACTCCATTAGATATTTGATATTTCTGTGAGACATGATGCTGGTCTGATATATGTGTACAGTAGTATGAGAGGCTTAGTTGACCAGATGAGAATGAGAGGAGGCCCGAGTGATTCCCAGTGGGACTGCATTTCCCTCTCGTATCGGTCCACTGGAGCGCATCTGATGGAATGGTGATTAGATTGCTTCATCTCCTATAACTAACACATGTCCCCGTATTCTCCAGGCTCAACTTTTTCCTTCCGATTTTACGGGAACTTTGGAAACTCATCTCTCAAAATCAACAAGTTCGTTGGGAAACAAACGAAATTGACAGGACGTGCGCTGGGGCTACTGCGAGCCAGAAATGACACGTCTTGAAGTGGCAACGCTTGGGTTGAGCGAATTTGGTAGGATTCGGAAAAGAATTAGTAGCTTTTGGAAATGAATCTGGTTTTGAGTTTGGATTCATATAACACTGAACAGGTTTTATATTTCCGCATGGCCGACACAGCCTTTGCTTGATTAAGTTTCCCCACTGCTGCGATGGCTAAAGAGTCTCAGGTGGCGTAATGCAATTCAATCTCGTCATCCAGAAGTATGCTCGAGATTAAGTTTATTATGCTCTTTTTCTGTTTCATCCTTGCCTTCATCCCTCCAGCATGCTAGAAGAGTTCGAGAGGCTTTCAAGAAGGTTCTGGAATGGAAATTACTTAGATAGCTATCGTGCGAGAGGATTCCTAAACTGGATTCCCGAGTCCGCGTTAGAGACGCTATCGGGATAGCTTCTATAACGGAACCATGATCGTGATAGTAATCCCAGCCGATTGTGGAAAGACAAATTTGCCGCATTACCCATATTCCGGTTTTGTTTCTTATTTTTCTCCTCCGACGATGCCTGAGAACAGGGAACATTTTTCTTGAGAGGCCCCATCATCTTCTGAGATACGAGGCATGTGCCAATGATATGACCTGAAGAGAGCAATTTAAGAGAGATGATGGTGCTTTAACGGATTGCTGAATGCCAAATTTCACCTTTCTGTAATATTGTAATTCTTTAACATTGATGCGTGCTGACATCCAAGCAGTGTAAAACGTGATATATTTAATTTAATTAGTAATGTTATGGTGGTTTTCATTCGAAAACGAAACTTGTGTGTTGAACACCTATTGTCATGCGATCGCTGTGGGAGCCGCAATAGTGTCTCCAACGTGGACCCAGTGTTTTGTGAAACATGTCTACTGGTTGTCTTCCAAGAAATTTAAGGCTGGATTTCTTGAGAATCTCTCTTCAGTGAGATGCTCTTGAACCGCTAATGAGCACGTTTCTTGATTCCGCCTTCTGAGAAAGCCCATCCATGATCCAGATCCGCTACGTTTCAGGACTATCAAATGATAATGTCGCTGCCCGTGGTTTATCTTCATTGATCGTCAGAGGTGGGAGTTTCCGGTGGCCAGATTCGCGGAGCTGCCAGGGTGAGGTAACACTTCCAAATCAATCCTAATGTGCAGTATGTTGCTTAGCCTAAACTCAGAGTAGAGGTGTGAGTACGAGATATATGTTTTCTGACCGAAGTATCGACGGTGAATTGAGGTTGCATGAGGACGGGCTTTGTCTTGGTGCTGCTTCTGCTGCAGTCACCCTCCGCTCTTTCTCGTCTTTGTTCTCATTAGCCTTAGGTAACCCAAAAGCGGAAACTCTATGGGCTGAAATTTTGGCATGCTGTAAAGAAATGGCTTACGTTTCTCTTTAAAAATAAGAGCTTTCGTATGGAGCAGTTCCAAAGTGCAAGGTAAGAAATGTTGGGAACTCCTTTAAAACTTTCGATCAGATGGATGTAAATGTAGGCCCAACCCTAACCACCACTGGGCGATGTTACTTTGGACGTAATAGTAATGATAAATAACTCTTTTGAAAATTTTCAAAATTTAAAGTTTTTTTTTCTCGATTAATATGAGAATATGAGAGAGAGAGAGAGATTAATATGACTTAATTTCCCGTAAAGAGCAGGTTTTATCATTTTGCATTTCGAAGTTATTAATTTTTTTTGTAGACCTCAAAAACCTCAGTCACGTGCTCTTCGGACTGAAAGTGTTAATGCCCTTCGTATGAGGGAAGATCTAGGCTGAAAGTAAAGCGATAGATTGTATATCTTTTTTCTCTGGTTCTCTTGGATCTACCTTTTTCAATTTGCTAACAGGGTTGCATAAACAGGAACAGAGCTTTAAAGTATTGGTTCCAAGTAATTTTAGGCTACGTGTGAGGTGCACAGGAGGGAGAAAGGGAAGGGGAATCTCAGAGATCGATATATCGAGGGCTGGAAAATCCCCGGATGTCTTGGTTACCATGGAGACGAGAGAAGCAGGGACTAGGACTGGGTGATTCTCCCTCCATGCCATACTCCCCCTCCCCCCATTCTGTTTTCCTTCTTCTATTATGAGAGTGGTGGGGGAAAACACAGGGAGGCGCCATTGGGTCTAAGGGGTCACTCCACCATGAAATGATGTCTGCTTGGATAAGGAAACAAAAGGTCTCCGCTCGGGTCTTTCTCATCATTTCCTAAAATCCTCCCGTTCATGGGATTTCATTGTCTCCACGTAACCCCTCTTTCTCTTTTCCACTTTCCGATTCACCGAGTGTTATTTGGGGCCAAATAGGGTGACCGTTACTTGACCACACCCAATATCTAAGAAAACTGATACATCTCCGATTGAATGCTGCAGTCTAAGTTTGAAGTTCCGCACAATTAAAAATATAATAATGAAGTATGATATTTTCACTAGATTTTAAATAATCGATGTTTCGTGATATTTCGTCAACCTCATTCGAAAAGTAACATCTCCGAGCGCTGTTTCCTTATTGTGCCTCAAGTAGGCTTGTTGTCTAAAGTCTCGTCCTCATGAGAAAGTTTTTTTGCTTGGTCGATGACAGAATGTTGCAAACTAAAGATTTTTGGAACAAAACTTTCGAAGAAATCTCCCAGAGCATTGAAAATCTTGCATAGAAAAATCCTGACATGGATGAGGCCTAAGCTATGCCTGAAATCATCCCTTTTAGTTCCTTGAGGTATGCCCCATGAAAGAACTCTAATAGCTGTTGTGACCGCGCAGGAATTTGGATAATTTGACCTGGATCGTGATCTTTAATAGAAAATTCTAAAGTGTTACGAAAGTTGCTTGAGTCCTGCAGGCCAGCCAGCCTCCATCCAATCCAATGGCTCTGTCATTTATTTCCAACCACATTGTTCTGCCAGAATCATTGTAGTTGGATCGGTCTGTTCCCCGCAAAACTGGGTATTCACGGACTTTTTCAAGAAGTTTCTCACTCTGCATGATGGCAAAGACAAAGACTTCAAGAGGTACGCTTACATTAGGACATCGCCAAAATTTAATCGTAAATGTGACCACCTTCCCCGTGTTATAGGAAGTTTCCCACCAATCCTTTCAAGCAGGACTCTGGCATTGTTTCAGGCCGAAATATCTCTAGAATTAGTCTCCCGTTACAAATTTCAGAGTGCTGTGAACAATAGACCTAAACACTAGAGCAGTGAAAGGAGAATCATAATGTGCTTCCACAAAACTATATATCAGGTTGTAAAGGTGAAATTTAGACATTTCGATTTTTTCTAGAAATATCTGAAAAATGTTAGAACTTTCTATGTAGGTGTATAAGTAGAGTGACCAGTGGGCATTGTGGGCGTGAGTGCTTATCGTGAACTTACAACAGATACATTGACGCAAGACTGCACTCTAGTCGTTGTTGAGTTAATTGTCAATAAATTGTTTTCTGAAAAATGTCTAAATTTCACCTTTACAACCTGATATTTGCTTTTTCGTCATCGTACTAGCCTTCTGCATACGGGCAGTTATTTTGGTACCAGGACGCATTTAAGGGAGCGATGGGGGAATTTCGAGGTTTGAAGCTTCCTCCTTGTGACTGTAATCACCCTTTACCATATTAATGTTGCCAAACTGTAGAAATGTTAAAGAAATTAAAATTGAAAGTGAAAATGAAAATAAAACAAATACGGGCAGAAACTCCGGGATTGAGATGGGAAATATTACTCATGTGGCTTCCTTGGAGATTCCTCTCTTTCCCTTGCAATATTACAGACAGAAAGACCAGTGTCTCCTATTTATCAATATGTAGGACTGATCTTTTCGTAATACTACAGTGAAATGGAATTTCTAAGAAAGCTGTGGAAGTTAGATTTTCATTTTAACCCAGGAACATATTTGTTAGATAATGTCGGCCCCCCCCCCCCCCCCCTTAAACGAACTTAATCGTTGGAATATCCTGGACTCGTCATTGTTTCGGTAGGCTGTTTAGTCGATACTTAAATAAAAATAATAGCAAATGGTTGTTTAATTCTGAATGCAGTTTTCCGAATTATGTAAATACGTATCTGAACTTTCTCAGGTAATATCCTTTAAAATATTATATAAATAGGCCTACTAATCCAACGCTCGACAGCACAATTGGCTGCATGGGTTAAAATACTTGCATTTTTTCATCTCTATTGATTGCATTCACGAATAGGCGTTTTGGCAGAGAAGAAAGGGGATTTTTTGGCGCCCCCGTGTGGTTTGAAAATCTCAAATTAAAATAATACTGGTGCACATATCTTCATTATATCAACTTAGTTTTTTCAGCCAAACCTTGAATGTATGCCATCAGCACCCCAGCATAAATCTCTCTTTAAACCAATTCGATTTAAGTTTAAGTGTAATCCTATGAAAGACATTCGCGTAATGGCAGGGCCAGGTCTCCGCCGCCGAAGTCAGGTTTTTGCAAATTCACCTGTGTTATTGTCATAATCGTTTCAGTTTTTGCCTCCTTGCAAAATACTTCATCAAAAAGAAATCGTTCGTGCGAAAAACATTATGAAGGCCCTCATTAGTCCACATCATTAAGTATTCGAATCGAATCTGAAACTACAATAATTGAAGATCTTCGCATTGCATGAGCCAAGTCACGAATTCTTCCGAATGCGGGATCCAATCGCAAATTCTGGTTTGACCGATCTCGGCAGCTACAGGCACTGTGTTTTCGCTTAGAATCATACCACCTTTTATATGGGTCAACGTTAATTCATTGGGTCTCATGTCCATAAAGTCGTCTGAGACGATATTAAGACAGTACGAATTCTTAACAGAAATACTGCATTTAAATACCTTCTGGATAGTCGTTTTTGAAAATAATTTTGCGCAATTCTCCAGCTAGTTTTAACCTTGAACAAGGCCTGCGGAAGTTGTGACCAATATGTCCACTTCGACGGAATCTGCCTTCTACACATACACCCGTTCGACCCGTAATGCGTAATAGAACTCGTTTGTCTTGAGTTCACCTCATGGTCATTTCGCAACAGCCTGATCGGATGACCGCAACGTTTCATCTCTCACTTCCGTTCATTATTTTGGTCCGTAGCTGCGTTGCGGGTAATGCGAATGAATCCATATCGGAGGAATTTCTTCTATGTTTGAAAAACACCGACGCCCAAAAAGCGAAGTAGAACTTATATTGCATCATAAATATGGATGAGAGGATATAGGCTACACATGGTTCTACTGAAGATTTCTCGTTGTCCATTTCAGTGTCACGTGTAGGAAAGAAAAATCCGAACTTATCATGATAAACCCAGAGTATGCTTTGGTGGATCGTCAACGTGAGACTTGAGGGTCATAACGCCGACTGACTTGGTGCTTGCACTGGGATAACACCGGATTGCAAAGTTCAAGTTTAGATTTTCATCTCTTTGAGGACTTAGGTCTACTCAAAGCACTGGGAGAATTTCCTGCACTGAGTTTCGTCTTCCTCCGAACACACCGATAACTTCTTTACAAGAGAATATGTGAGGAGAGAATCACAGTTGGGGTATAACCTTGGATGTTCTCAGAGTTTCTCCAAGGATCGAGGATTGGTAAGAAGTTCCCTCTTGAGTCGCCAGGCTTGCTTAGCTGCGTTTTCCAAGCTCCCTGGGCTTTTGCCCTTGAAGAGATCCAACGACGGTAGGAAGTAGTGCGGGCATCTTCGACATTGGAGGCAAGAGATGAGTTGAAGCAAGATCCCATCCAGTCGATCACCCAGACCGCTTTCATCCCATTCCAGCTCTCGTGGATGCTTTTCGCATTCGTATAGCAGCAGCGTCTTCATCACATACCCTGACACCGGGTTCCCTATAAAACGGGACGGCGTGCTTCTTGAAAACATTCAGGTTTACGATTCATGAGCCTAAGGGAGAAGGGGAACTCACCTGGAAGGTCGAGATGTCGATCTCTCAGGGTCTTCAAGATGGATAAGCATCGTCGTCGGCATCCTCCATATAGAAGTCTCGTCTCGGCCTCGTGGAAGCTGATGACCCAAGCATCTCCCTCCATGCTACTCTGTTTCCCAGCCAAAGCGAGACTTTCCTTGCTCAGAAGATCGAAGCCCTCCGTTTTCACCTCGGCCACCAGCTGAGGCGGTGGCCAACAGAGATGAGTCGGTGGCCAGTGTGCTGCAGATCGGGGCCAGACCCCGGAACATTTGAAAGCTGGGGTGATCTGGACCACATATCTCTCCCGGATCCGGAGTTTCACCTCCGTCGTATCGGCCACCATTTTCACCATCTCCCGGTATGCACACTTGTCGCATGCTTGCGCCACTAGAGTCTGAAAACGGGAACGGATTTTCCTCGCAGACAAGTAACCAGATGCTGTGATGAATTCCACCCACAGGGACATGCTCCTTTTTCTCCCATCACTCAGCTTCAGCACTGCACAACCGGGTACGGAGCCATCGTCCACGAAATTGAACACCCCCATCTGGTTGAGATACAGGACGACTTCGAATTCCATTGGGGAGTTCACGATGAGACCCTCGAAATGTCCGTTCACTTCGGCTAAAGATGAAATGAATCTTGGCTCCTGGGCTTCTACTTCCTTCAGGACGTCTTGAACGACTTTTGCCACTTCTCGGATGGTTTTGGCGATATTCGCCTGTCGAGCTGCCACCCGTTCTCCGATGTATCGATTCAGTTGATACAGTAGCTTGCTTTGAGCCATCATCATATCCGCCGGTACCAACATGGTGACGGCCCTGACCCGAGAATTCTCGCACTCGCACGACACAGGACTCGTTTCGGTCTCTCTGTTCAGGATTGTCTGATTCCTTGGATGCTCATACGATCGTCCATCATCGAGGAGGGATGGGACTCGGGAGAGGGGGGATGAAGGAGAGTCCCGGATTGGATGATGGGGAGAGAGTGGGGGCGGGGCGCCCATTCGCCGAGCCCCGCCTCAGCTAGGAGTTGCACTTGGATTCCGGCCTCCATGGGATAATTGAAGGTCTCATGCCCTCGTAAGGGGTAATTGCAGGACTCCCGTCATCAAGAGAACGCCCCTGGATTTGTTCCTGTCTATTGCTTGACATGAGAGGGGCAGCATCTAATGGGCTAGCCCCCGTGCAACGTAATGTCATCATCAGTATTTTCCCTCCCGGCTCCAAGAGCCCTCGTCGGCTTCTACACGTGCATGCTCTCGTGCTGCCAATAGGAGCATATGCAGGCACTCCTTGTGTATCTTCTCATGGGCCATTAACAGAGTTCGAACCTAGTATTCCTCAAGATCTGTATATGGTGCAGACCAGAAGCCTCTTATCACATACTAATTCAGTGGTGGCTCGTGATATTCAGCAGCAGTGGATCGTTAAAGGAAGAAGGGTAGGTCTGGGCCTACACTACCTTTATAGACGATCCACTACCGCTGAATGTTACGAGCCGTCCATGTATTAAGTTCATTTTTAATCATCTTGAACAACATAAGCACCTCTGGAACACATGAAACAAGAAATCCTCCCGCTCAGACCCATTACGGCATAGGAGATGATTAAGATGGCTTTCGTGCAAGGCAATTTCTGAACTCGAGCCCCGGCCACAGTTAGACACCATTGCGTCCCTCACAACGAAAGCAAAATCTCGAAAGGAAACGCAGACGATTCTAAACCGACACCTTGAAATCTCATCCAGCAGTGCCTCCAGCAGTATCTGACTACAGGTAATCTTTTTTATGGATAACCCCTTCGTAAGGGCCAAGCTGAGTGCTAGATGAGATACGGGGAGGATACCTCAAGAGAAAGCTCTGGAGAGAGCGAAGTGCGAGAGAGAATTCTACTTTAAATGAACTGTAGAAGATGCACCACATTACCGACAACGTGGTGCATTGTCGGGATGGAAGTGCCACTGAAGTGAATCTAATGTGGCTTGTGGCAGTGTTATGCTTGCAATTTCATGAATGGCTTCACGGTGACTTTCATAGGAAAAAGATAAGTAGTGTGTTGAATAACATTTACTGAGATGCTATGGAGGTGGAAGCCGATATAGTGTCCCTAACGTGGATACGGGTTTCTGGTTAGTAAATCCCTCGTGCGATAGCCATCTTTATTATTTCCATTATATTCAAGTGAAAGTATGCCAAGAAATATCGTGAGAGTCGCGTGAAGTTAGAAAAGAAGCTGGAGTCAATTGTATGTACTGTCGAGACACCATCAACATCGATTTCCCCCTCAGAATTTCAGTACACATGTGTGAAGTGATATTTTAGAGCATTTCTGGGCATCTTGACAGGAGGATTAGGTCGTGCACCTTGGGCCTGTTCCTTTGGGGAAGAAGCAGCGGAAGCTTTCCGAGACAATTGTCCAACAATAAAGTGCTCTCGAGGAGGGCCAATTCATGTCTATTGTGCAAGACCTCCTCTATGTGTCTCTTCCTATTCACGATCTTTTATTATACGTGCGGATCTCTTCTGCTTTGGAACGGTTTTGGCCTAATCTCCGGCAGTTTTACGAAGATTTACAAGCCCCTATTCCCGTGATGGCGAATGCGACCCTCTCGAATTGTCTCACGTTCGACTCTCTGGTCTTATATTTGGCCTTAAGCATTGCACTCCTGTAAGCCTATGTAACAAACTATACGAGATTGTTCTTTAGCCCATATGATCGCACTCTGACTTCCCGTATCGATGGAGGAAAGTTTTTCTTTCTTCGACGAAACTATTCATCGATCTGGATTTGGTATTGATTGTGAACTGCATATCGATTGTGTCACCCTGAGTGGAAAGAATGTCGGTTGAGTTAGATCTTTGGGGGTTGACATCGTTGGACGGACGTATGCGTGTGAGCAGATATTTATTTATTATTTTTTAATTATTTTAAATTATATTTTTCAGAGTTTTACAGAGAGAAGGAGGGGCAGTGTTTATACTTGCCGATTCAGCTAACGGTCGATTCATTGATCCTCCCCATACGATACACTCCCTATCTCGTGAATCGGGATTTTCATAACCGCATTCGTTTCCTGATTGCTGATATGAATAGCTGAAATGTCTATAGGGTTTGGGTTCGATACCCATCGGCAGGCAACTCCAGGCATGGATCGGGAAGGAGTGTATGAATATCCTGGCAGAAATCCATTTTCTGGGATTACCCGCTTTCCCGTTTCTGCCGATTCCCTCATTTCTCTTGTCTTCGCCATCACAGGCATCGTTTTCTTGCTGCTTTCACTAATTTACTGTCCATCCAGAGCTAGCGACAGTAGTGCCAAGTATCGTACAGTGGTTTTCACTTGAGTCTCTCATTTTTTCGCTTGACATGGATATCCATGCATGGATGTTCGAGTCAAGTGAAAAAATCCACTGTAGTTCGCACTTCCCTTTCGCTCATTGAGAGGTTGTCTTTTAGAAAGAAAAATAGTTCGGCATATTGTCTTTATATCTTCTTTTTGTGGATTGAAGATCACTGCAGCTGAAGGAAAACACTAATCTCCGATGATGGTGGAGGCGAGTACTGGGTAGCATCGCAGAAACGAAGCTTGGCAGAATCACGTCCCGTGCACACCCAAGGGGGATTGAGTGAGCGGGACTGCGGATGAGATGTGCGGACAAGGCTTGTGGGGATCGTGCACCGGAATGCGATCCATTCAAAGTTCTTTCCAGGTTTCAGGTGTTTTTTCTTTAAAACTGGTGGAAAAAAAAATGAGGGCAGCGAGTTTGGAACTAAAAAGAGGTCGTGGACTGAGGGTAGGGAATTTTCGGTTGGGGTGGGATTGAGGATAACGTTTTATTCTATCCAGCGAGAAGGGAAAGTCCGTTTCCCGTTCATATTCATGCCTAGTTTTTTTCCCTCCTCTTCCCGCACACTATGGGTCATGTTTTCAATGTGTTTTCAATCACGTAGTTGCTACTAGCTACTTAGTTGCCCTTTAAAAATATGGCTCAATATCTCTTTACCTCTCTCTCGTCGATTTTGTTGGAAGGATTCTTCGGCTGAAGAGAGAGAACGTGACGATCCTGGGTATTTTCAACTAACTTTTCGTAGTGCAAGGAGGATACCGTATGTCCTTCGTAGGCAACTGATTAAATTCCATCGTGATAATCAATCATGCACGAGTCGTGCGATTGCTGACGCCGCTGTATGCATCCACTGCAAAGATCGGAAAGAATCAGAAGGGAGACTGAACAGACCTATTTAAAGATGTAACAATATTGTCGATATCAGATTTAAGTTGTTTTTTCCTAGGTGCTGATGAGTCATAACATCTATCAATAATCGAAAATCCAACATTATTTCACGAAGTATTGCCTCTTTTTTCTTATTTTAATGCGTAAACCTTGAATTTTAGCCTTTTCTTCATTATGGGTTTTCCATATCAATAAGTCTTATTTCTGTAGCTGTACTTTTTTCAACATTGATACATCCCCAAACAGAACAGATTTCGGTAACTTTGGTTTTGGTTATCTTTGTAATCAGATTTTAGGTTTCCGAATATTGTTTTCGGGTTAGGCTTTGCTCATATAAGAAATTGAAGATATCTAGATGTACCAGGGTCAGCTCAACTCGTATCTCATGGATTCAGGCGAGCCATTTCATCCTTTAGGTAAATGATGAGGCGAGGATCCCTTATCGGGGGGCCAGGTGCTTCGGGAGGGAGAGTAAAGGGAATGGAAATCCATATGGGGTATATGACGTGGCTCGTGTGCGGAAATGAACGCCCGAAAACAAATGGATCAGGAGAAAAGAGGGGGAACGAAATGCAGGGGAAGCACAGGTAGTAAATATGCCTGGGATTGGGATGAGGGATCCTGGACCCAACACTCCATCCATCCCTTCCACCATCCCAAACTCGTTTCCTCTCATTGGAACCCTGCAATGACAAGGTTCCATTCTCGGTGACAATGAACCATGAGAGGAAATGTGACATCTCTGAGCGCCTTGATAGATGAGAGAACGTCTATCAGTCCCGCCTATCACCCCACTGCATGAGTGACTGTGGGCAAGGGTCATCTGTTGTTTTTTTGTTGTCTTTTCGACGATCTGAGAATGCGATTAGAAGAAAGTCCGGGACAGATCCAAGGACGACCGCTTCATTCCTCTTGCCTGCCCTGTTCCTTCTCTACCCTCCTGATGCATGCAGTCGTAAGAATCTGCTGCTACTCTAGTGCTCTTTAGCTACAACTGTTTCGGTTTGGATCTTCCATTAGGTTTCATTTGATGTGATACGATGAATCAATAATTTATGAATTACGGAAAACTTGATTCGGAGACTGATTTTTAACTGGGAAGACCAAGTTTTGAAGATGAAGAGGTAAAGATTTTTTTTTTTTCGAGGCGAGGGTGAGTGTCCTTCGAAATAGAAAGGGACAATTAGCGGGATTTTATCGCGGGGTCCTGTCCCGCCCCTAGGACTAGGACGAAAATGGTATCTTGATAATGGGCAGGATCACTGGACTGATCCCGAGTGTGATCGAATGCAAAACTAACCCTTGGTATTGTATTCATTTGTCTAGTGCTTTGTTTTATTTGATGGGAGTTGCACCAGGAAATCACAAGTTTTTGAAAACCGTCTATGTTAATCGATTTAAGATCACAAAGTAAATTTATGCCACTTTTCGAATCCTTCAAGAGTTAGCTCCGGAACCCGTCTCACTGGTAGAATATACGCAGGAACGGTATTGAAAATGTTTTAGATTGCGAAATCGGTTGTGATTCAGGATGGGTATGGTGGGATTGAGACGATTGCAAGTGGAAATGAAAAATTATGCAGAAGGGGACGAGAATGGATAACAAACACTAGTTCCATGTCCTCCCCTACTATGAAGAAGCGTTGCCCTATTGGGGCCATGTTTCTTCAAATGGCGAGCGCGAAGGAAATTCGATGCCGGGGACCCGGGTTCGGTATGCGTGAGATAGGATCTGTCCCCAGACAATGGGGAATAAATCATGTTCATCTGGGTCTTTCCGTCGACGGTCTTTGATCTTGCGTCGTCCACTGACCACCTGTACGAGCTCCCATGAATCGTCCATCCCCTCTCCTCCCCCCCCCTCGAAACGGGGAAAGGAACATCAGAACACGACTCATCCACGCCCGGCTTTTCTGGAATTCGAGAGGGAAAGAGGGTGGGAGAAACCCGAGAGTCCCAGGAGGGATAAAGGGATCAAAAGCCTCGACCCCCCAGCCCCCCCCCCCCCCCCCCCCCCCCCCCCCCCCCCCCCTCCGACCCGTCTCGCGTACGCACAACATAGTCTCTCTCTCTCTCTCTCTCTAGCTTTACCTCGGTCTTCATCACTATCATCCTCTTAGCCTAGAAGCAATCAGGATGCACGAGGCTTTTGATCCCTTTATCCCTCCTGGGACTCTCGGGTTTCTCCCACCCTCTTTCCCTCTCGAATTCCAGAAAAGCCGGGCGTGGATGAGTCGTGTTCTGATGTTCCTTTCCCCGTTTCGAGGGCAGAGCACAGAGGGGAAGGGAAATGTGCAACGAGTGGAAGGAAATGGAACCAGGCAGGACATTCCTCATCGCCCTCTCTCAGTCTGATGGGATTCTAATCGAATCAAATCCACTGCTCGCTGCTCGACTGCAGTGCAGGGGGAAGGGGGATGTTTTCCGTTTCCCCCCCTCTCTTCATTTCATCCCATCTGCAGGATATATACTTCACGGCGACGACCCCATGTGATCTCACTTGAGAACTGTCATAGCATCGTGTACATATACCTCTCAACTTCCATTATGCCAGCAATGCCTGTGGGAGGAGAAGCAGCAGAGGTTCTTGAAATATGTTATTGTAGCGCAACCCATTTCCCGTGTCTTCACTCGCGAAAGATTCCAGATGAAACCGCTTGAATAGTCTCAAAACATGCCTCCCTCAACTCCCTTGTGTTCTCGCTGGAAAGTTCACATGTCCGGTATTTGCCCCAAGCTGGGGTTCTAATCCATTGACATTGGATGTTGAGTATTCCTATCCATCGAACTATTGTTCTACCTCGTCCAGACACCTCTTGTATGGATTAGCCAAGTATGAGTTGAGGATGAGGAAAGGATCTATAGTTAGTTTAATGTATCTTTAAGTTTTCGTTGTGCCACCTGCGCTTGCGGCCATTGTGAACATAGGGCCTAGAACTCAGTTTTGTAAATGGTGTAATTGTAGAACAAATACGCATGCGTCGTATGAAAGTACGAAAGTATCAGCATATAATTTGCATAGATTTTAGAAAGACTCTAGTTACTTCTGTTTTATGTGGGAGCTGGGAGTAGAGTTTTGTATATTGTTATGTTTTATGAAGCAGCAACATAAGCCTTAGTAATTGTCCTTGTATTAACATCCACCTATCAAAACCTATCCAATTAATTGCAATCCATATAGATGAACGCAGTGAGTGCGGGTAGATGTGAAGTGAAGGAAAATAAAACTCCAGTAGTTCAGTTTGCACAATTCACTGTGGTATATTCAGGAGTCAGAAGGAACGTACATTATAGAAATGATTTGGATCCCTTACAGAAAAAGTTTAATATATTGAAAGTGAAACCGGAAATCAACAGTGATTCATCATTTAATCACCGGTTTTCAACATCCATTCAACAGGAGTTCAACATTGGTCACTATTGAATCACTGGTGACATTTTTGTACGGGATGCCAGGCCCAGTCCACCAGACAGGTCCACGCAACCCGTTGTGTAATATTAAAATAAAAAATAATAAAAATTACCGGAAAGCCCCCGAAGTTGGACTCTGTCCGGCCGGGTCCTTACAAATAGGAAAACGAAAGTCGTGTCGTTTCCCACAATACTTTTCAAAAGTCTGGCATTTTCAGACCGAAGAAAGTTTCAACATTTACTCTATCTGACATGAGTTCTTTATCATCACTTGAGCTTGAAGACGATTTTATCAGCCATTTCGCAACTCCATACGTCAGGATGGTAAAGAAAACCGAGACTTAGCGCGTCGTTCATATTTTAGTATCGAGTGTCAGGATTTCACAATTATGTGCAATTAAAGTCGGACAAAGACTTGGTTGCGAAACGGGAATCAAATTGCTACGGAAGACAGGCAACTTTGAAGAAGATTTAGGGTGGATTTTTGAACAGAGCACTATCGGATAATGCAGCTTTATTTACCGGATTTTATCGTGCCTTTTCTCTGAAATAAAGCTGCATTATCGGATAGTGCTCTGTTCAAAAATCCATCTCTAATTTCGCTAACAGTTATGAACCTTTAAAATATATAAGTAAATAAACCTTTAACTCTTCGTTTTTGTCAAAGCACCGTAGAATGGAGCGTTCTGTCAGCTGAAACAATAAAATAAGGATATTTATGTTGCTGAATTCATCCATACGTAACACTCGAGAATCAGGAAGCGTATACGATATCCTTGTGCCAGCTGATCTTAACGCATTTTCCCCAAGCCATTGCCTATGAAACTGTCAATATCGCTCCCTCCTACTGTAGTACCCTTATCAGGTTATGATGATGATGGTGATGGTGATGATAGTGGTCGAAGTGATGTGTGGAAGGGAGTGTCTTGTGAGGTTGCACGATTTCCCCATCTGCTCCTTCACCCCTCGGTCGGACGTGATGAATGGTGGAGTTCGAGCCCCCCAAGGCTCTTTTCACTTGGGTTTGTACACTCCACTTTACCATGCATCCAACAACAGGCATATGATTCCCGAGACAAATCGGACAATAGACGGGAGGGAGGGAGAGAAAAAAGACCATTCAATATCCAGCCACCCTTCTCTCGTCTGTCGGAGGGGGGGGACGCGTATCCCGTGCTTGGTTCCTTGCTTCATGATGTTCTCTTATAATCACATTACACGAGATTAAATGGTCCTCGGGCAACTCTCTATCTCCGTTTCTCTCCCTGGACCAGTTACCATGCTGCATTTTCCCCTTGCTCGATCATCTCTTTCCTCTTTTCTTCTCTCTCGGAATGGTTTCGGTGAGGTGAGATCCATTCCTTGCCTGGGAGGTCGTTCATCATCCTCGACTTTTGAGGGATGAAGCACCTGAGGGATTTGTTTATCTAAGGCCATGTCAGCACCTCCCTCTCCCCTCCCTCTTCCTTTTCTCATCATCATGATGAGCCAAGAAGAAGGAAAAAAAAAAGTGCCTGAGGCACCTCTCGTCTCTCATTCTCAATATGAGCGACCGACAAACTCACTGACTGCATGCTTGGATGCTTGTTGCATGTATTCCATTCCCGACTAGGGGCCAGAGTAATTGGATTCTAATGAAGATGAATGGGTGACCAATGAAATATTGGGTGGTCCCCCGGTACCAATATCCCTCATGCATCTCATTTTCTCCCTCAGCCAGTAAGTCTGAATCATACCCCCCCCCCCCCAGCTTCTTCTCTTCACTCTTTTTACGCTCTTCCCCTTATTACCTAGTCAGGAGTTCCTCATGCAATAAGAATCGACAAAGCAGACTTCAGTGCGAGTCTTGCACCAACTCCTCAACTCCAAAATAAAAGGTGAAACTTACCTGGGCTGTAAGAAATCTATATATTTGAGCTTTCAAGACGTCTCCACAAACTCACTTTTCTTATTTCCCTATATGTCGCTATTTCTGCTGCTTTAGCATTGCCTTTGCGCAATCACTTATTGGGAGCACTTTAAAATGAAGTGTATCAAAGTGGTGCTGATATCGAAGTGATCCGAACAAGGAAGTATCTCTCTCGCGCTCCAGCTATCTGGTAGTTTTCTGAAGGATGTGAGAATGAAATGGAATGAAGCATGGAGAACTGAGCTGATCAGTTTATTGTCCATCAGGATTGCCAACCCAGGGATACTCGCGAGGACACGCGACGCAGGAGACAAAGTTACGTTCTTCACCGTCTAAAAAGTAGGGCCCGCAAAATAAACCCGCGCAGTCCGTTGCTGGCGGGGGATCATCGCAATCTAAGGACGTCATGATATCATTAGGCAGTGGTTCCTGCATCCATTTGATCAGTTCCCCCACACTCACGACCCACACGTCGTCGTAATTCGTGAGGACTTCATCCAGGAAACTGGAACGACGTAGAATTTAACGGACCGCACCGTTGGAGGGATGTCACAAGCATGGCTGATAGGAAAAACTCACTCATTGAGTGCAGCAAAATTATGTGTCCATTCGCCCAAGAACCAGGATGCGTGGGTATAGAGCCCGAGTGGGGACCTACCGGCGCTTTCTTCATACATTCTCCGGAAATTATTCCTCAGCAATTCTATAGCCTGATCGTAGGTCTCTGGTCTTCAAAGAGAAAAAATATTGTGAGCAATCTAGATGATAAGGGAAAGATCCGCTTTCATACAACTGAGTAGAGGACCTGTTGTCGCACTGATCGAGCATGGCACACTCCGTTCCATTCGTATCTACTAAATCCACGATCGGGACTTGCCAGAATTTTGGGAAAGGTCCCTTAGCACACGGTTCGATCTGACAGTCCTGTGACATATGACAAAAAGAGACGGAAAGAAGAGTCAGTTAAGATGTAGGGTGTGCTGAAATATGAGAAGAGGACGTTTACCAGACGAATTTTCATTCGACATATTGAATTTCATATTCTGGTCATACAAAAAATTAACTTGGTCTATATGTTCAAATCCATTTCGCACAATGTTGTTAGAGAGTAGAGATGCCGAAGAGACATACGAGTGCACTCACAAGGAATTCAGATTCGCTGTAGTCTACTTCATAAGTGAACGGCCAGAGTCCTTGGTCCATGAGAGTGCGAGTCGGTCGAGATGCATCGTAAATGAAGTTATTTTCGACCAGAGCTTGGTAGTATTCATCTCCAGATGTCTGAAGGAAAGGTACTCGAGCACCCTTGATGTAAGAGCCATTGAAGTTGGCGAACTTGGCAACGATTTGTCGCAGCCCATCCATCTCCAATGCCACATCGGCCGCCGGAAGATCCTCCCAATGCGTCACTGGTGTTCGATGGCTTCAATTCCCAGGAATAGATGGAAAGAAGTCTATACGAGGGCACGCGGTAGCAAGTTTAAATGCTATTTCACACTCATACCTTATGGAATGGGAGGCGATTTCATAACCCCTCAAATGAAGATCGTGAACGTGCTGATAATTGGAAAATTCGTGAGAGAGGAAGAAAGTCGTTCCAATGCCGCATCCATTCGGGTTAAGTTTTGACGGGGTGCCATCTTGGAATAGCAGTTCCTTGTACAAAGGGTACGTCACATCCGTCACTGCGTCATCAAATGACAGGACTATGAACTATAACATGAGAAAAAGCAGTTGCATGTATGAACTTGAAACGAGAAACAAAATTTCTGGGTTAGAGGGCAGAATGTGAAAGTCACCGACTGACCTGAGGGGTTCGGTCGACGGGGAGGCCATCAGGAGGATAGGAAGAAGGACAGTTGCAATCAGGGATGAAGCAGGCATCCTGGGGACAAAGGGGATCTGTGAAAAACTCTTGGAATTGTCCCCATGGAATCCCTTGGAGGAAGAAGAAAGCGACGACTTGGACACCCAGTACTCTCATGGTGGTACTCTTCAAGGATATACCTGCATTCTGACGCGCTCCTGTCCTTTGGGATCTAGAAATATAGCCCTATGCGTCATACGACGAATAGGGACCAAAATGTGTTCAAATTCCCGAGGTCTTGCGACATTCTCACGAACCTCTTATCTTGTGCATGTTTGGAACTGGACTTTTCATCCACCTCTGATATAGATTTCCTCCTCGCACTGAAGTGGTATTTTTTCCCCTTCCAAATATTCTATTCTGTACAAAGATAATCCTCTTTGAACTAGAACCACCGATCGTCGGAACTTCTGCATTGTCATTTTGTATGATTTCTCCAATAAGGTTGATTTCGTACTCCTGCTGTACTGCATTGTAAAGCATGCTAGACCTTTGGCTTTAATTGCAGAATAGATTATTATTTCTTTATATATATATTTTCACTTTCGGATAGTGAATATGTGGAATGCTTCAGGTGAAGATATAGTTGCTGTCTCATCCTTTGAGAGCCAATTCAGTTATGAAGTTTTTCCTGTCAAATTTTCCCTTTTTATGTGTAGGACATCCATATTATCATCTAATGTGCAAATCGATCTCTAATTTCACTATTTTTGTGAATATCAGATGAAATCAGACTACTTATTGGTTGCCATGCATGCCATTGGGTGGACAATGTTAATTTGTAACCCCTGCCTAAGGACAACTGCCTCTTGGGATGATTTTACAGTTGCAATCTGTGAAAACTAATTAATACTTCTCTCAATACAAGTGAGAGAAAGGATTAAGAAGAGGATATTTCTCTTCATGGACTAGCCGAAAAATGGAAGCAATATAGCTGGAAGTCAATAGGCAGGTGATTGCCATGTTCCCGCCAAAAACTTTCCGTGAGAGAGTCCCGCAATCTTTGATTGCGGGAGGAATTGGGTAGGATCAGGACTCGACTGAGACTTTGAGTCTTAGTATGGACACACATTCCTCACGCATCCTAACTTAAAATTTCAACATTGATCCCTGATAATATGATCGTTCTTACAATTCAACGAGAGGGGATTTTTCGGAAGGCAAAATGGGTTATTCAAAACCGCGAAGGACGCCCTCCGTACACTCGTACCTTCTCCACTGTCTTTCAACCCAAAGCTCTTGACTTCTTGATTACGCAGTCGATGTAAATTAGTTTCCACCTCTATTTCCTATGCGAAATAAAATTATGTACTTGTTGCGAAGACAAGTGTCTGTGTTAGAGCATGTGGGTGGCTTGGCATCTTCCACTTTATAATGCGTAAAATATTTAACGAGTTGAGAGGATTGATCCGATGCAATCTCCGGATTGCTTTCCTTTCGGAACAAATTTTATTTTAAAACTATTCTTCAGTTCATGTAGTTACTTTTTTAAATTTAGAAACTCCGGTGCCGAGATTAATGCTCTGTCTGCCCATTGCAGAAAGAGTAAGCGTGGTCATGTAGCTGAGGCTGCAGTTGCAATTTGGCCAGGCCCATACGCTGGGGTTTCTTTTTCTCCCCTTTCCAGCAGCAAGGAAGGCTAATTTTTATCATCCTTGTTGCTACTGTTGAAACTTGAGAAAGAGCCTGTATCTGGCAGCATGCGACTAATTGATACACATATGTTTGAACAAATCATCGAGAACGTTGGTAGATCGATTTTGAATCTGATGCCTCTTGGGGTTTGCTCATCGTACCAGCTGCTCTTAGTTGTAATCCTCAAAAGTGCGTAACTCATATTCCCAACAGAAAAGTTCTGAAATCTGTTATAATGCTCGCCATAATCCCTTATTGCTTTTTAGGTGTTGGCTTACAGTGAGAGCATCCATGGAAAATGGCATTTCACAGAGATTCGGGCCATCTTCTCCCGTCGCTATCTACTCCAAAATGTCGCATTGGAAATTTTCCTTGCCTCCCGGAGTGAGTCCTCTCTCTCGTTCCCCTCATAAATACGGTCGTAGATGTCGTAAGATTATGAGCGAAAGTGAGCAAATAAAAAAACCTGCATCTGTTACATTCTTGCAGCGGCAGTGATGTTTGCATTTGGGGATCTAGGGACGGTTCGTCGAGTGGTACGGGCTCTCCCTCGCGTCGGGGTCGGCATCAAGTACGGACTCCCACAAACCCGGTTCGTCGAGTACCTGATCAGAACTCTTTACGACTAAATAGCCGAACTAAGTTACTTTCTAGGTCCTTTGATTCTTTCGAAGCAATGTCCTACCTACTGCATTATTCTCTTATCGTTCTTTCATCGCAAAGTTAATTTACGTTACAATTACGCAAAATATGGTTTACAAAATGTGGTGGTTCATTTCTTGCAGTAATTTATAACTTAACTTACTCGTCGCTTTTTTCAACGAGTAACTCCTAACCGAACTTAGTCACTCTTCCAGAGTACCTTAACCGCAATGTGTGGATAATTGCCATGTCTTAGCATTGGGAATTCCTTCTTGGATCTAGGAGAGCATCGTTGATGGTCGGGAGGCAATTGTTCCGGGCTTCAAATATGACTCATAAGTGGCAACGGAGGGAGATCTCCAACTTCGAGTACCTTATGTTCCTTAACACCATCGCCGGTATGTGTTTTCTTTTTCTCTTTCCTTTCTTCAATTCAAAGTTAAAGTTATCTGTTTCTCTCTTCCCTTCGCCTGTGATGTGCAATGTCATGAGTGGGATAATCCATTCATCCCCTCTAGTTGGACCTCTATGTATTCCATCGTCACTGCAGGTCCTTCGCAAAGCATTTCCCCTCTTGACTCGCTGAAGGTTTTGAGGAAAAGGGAGAGAAGGAAAAAGAAAGGAAAAAGAACTTTTACAAGCACCAGACAGGCTGCAGAGAATGCAATAAATTTTCTGTCAATGACTCCCTGCAATTTTCCAACCTCCATCCCCGTTGTGTAGATATACCTGTATCTAAATATTTAAATCCTTCTTCATCCCCTTGTCTCCGTGTTTGAAGTCTTCATTCTCCCTCTCCCCAGCCCTAGATTATTACCACTCAGCCCAGCCTCCCTTGTCTGCGATATTGTGCTTTGTTTTCTCTCCTCTTGTTTCATTACTTTCTGTTCTGCATCCAGGGAGGACATACAACGACTTGAATCAGTACCCGATCTTCCCATGGATTCTGACCAATTACGAGTCGATGGAGCTCGATCTCAGCCTCCCGTCCAACTATAGGGATCTCTCCAAGGTCAGTCCCGAGTTTCGAGTGCTAACGAACGAGGCGAAAGAACTGGACTGGGAATGATCGATTGCATGATTGTTCGGAATGCAGCCGATCGGAGCATTGAACCAGGGTCGGAAGGAGTTCTTTGAGGATCGCTTCAACACTTGGGATCACGAGGGGATTCCCCCGTTTCATTATGGCACTCATTATTCCACTGCCGCCTTTGTCCTCAACTGGCTCGTCAGGCTCGTAAGACCGCATTTTCTGTCACATGGAGGCATAAGGCGATATGTTGCATGCACTTCTGTTCTTTTATAGTGGAGATACATTCGTATTTGAAAATGTCCTTATACTCGTGAAAGTATTGCCTAAGGCCTCCTTGTTATTTTTAAACGACTCTCTAGCTTTCATGCTTTCCCGTATGTTGTAAACCAGATTTTTGCTGAATCTTGAACGAGCTTATTTACTTACTTTGGGAAAATGGAAAATCTTTGAAGTAAACCGAAGTTAAGAATACTGACCGCCCTCGTCGGTCATCATCCTCCCCTCGATTCCATCACCTCGTTCTGGATCCTTTCCCAATTGGATGCTTTCAGGAGCCGTTCACGACCATGTTTCTGTCGCTACAAGGAGGGAAGTTTGATCACGCGAATCGAATGTTTTCGTCAATGGAATGCGCGTGGAGGAACTGCCAACGAGACACCTCCGACGTGAAGGAGCTCACGCCGGAATTGTTCTACCTGCCGGAGATGCTGGTGAACATGAACGGGTATAATCTGGGTCGAGACGAGACGGGAAAGGCTTTGGGGGATGTTCATCTCCCTCCTTGGGCACAGACTCCCGAAGAATTCATCCGAATCAATCGCATGGTCCGTATCTTTCTCTCGTTCAATGCAGAAAAAAGGACAACTGGGATATATTGATGTTCTGACGGGGGTTGGATTTTGGGACAGGCCTTGGAATCCGAGATTGTCTCTTGCCAGCTTCACCAGTGGATTGATCTCATATTCGGATACAAGCAGCGAGGTGAGACTTTACATGAACAAATCCATTTAAACCCTTTATCCTTTCTGAAACCTGTACTTAGGGAACGCTTGAGAATAAATTTTCCGAGTTAACATTTTTTTAAAGTTTGGTCTGGTGTTCCCGTCCAGGAAAAGTCGCAGAGGCTCGTCCTCCCTTTCGTGTTTTTTTTTTTTTTTATCTTCCTCTTTACGAGGGAGGGATGGAAGAAAGCATGCATAGGGGGAAGGGAAATGTCTTTTTGGGTGGAAATTCCTTTTTCTTTTTTCTTCCTCTTGAGGCGCGTGTCTCCCTCCTCCCCCCCAAGACTCAGTCTGGCGCCGAGAGGAACCCGTCGTCTTCTTCATCAAATTCCTCGTCTCTTGAGACTTCGAGACGTTGCCCCATCTGGGTTTGATAACGGGTCTGCTTCCGCTTATTAGAACCCGTTTTCCCCCCACCCCCCTCTCTTTTCCCTTATCTCCCTACTTACAAATGAGCCCTCCGGGGACGCAACGGGTTGGGTCTTTGGAATCTCGTATGGTCCCGGGGTTCAAAAGCATGTATTCCGAATGTCCCGTCCCATTGTGATGATCTATTCGTCTAGGTCCGGAGGCGGTGAGGGCGACTAATGTCTTCTACTACCTCACATATGAAGGACTCGTGGATTTCGACTCCATCACTGATCCCCTCATGCGAGAAGTGAGTCGAGGATACACATTGAAATTTACTTGCATTTGTAGGACCGAATGAGCCGAATGCATTCGGTCTGTCTGTGTCCAGGCAGTAGAGAATCAGATACGAAGTTTCGGGCAGACGCCGAGTCAACTGTTGATGGAGCCCCATCCCCCGAGGGCATCTGCCATGACCCTTGTTCGTATATTCATTCCTCCTGCCCACCTTTCTCGCCTCCAATTCCTTTTTCCATGTCGATTAATGGAAAATGATCTGTGCCTTACAGAGTCCGCTGATGTGGACGTCGCCTCCCGATGATGTTTGCATGGTGGTGAAGTTCCCAAGTAACTCGGCAGTTATCCACGTGTCAGGGAACACCTACCCTGCCCTCCCACATCCCGCTATCCTCACGGTCACTAGTGCCGGTCACTTCGCCGTAAACCGCTGGCACAATCTTCCCTATCCTCCTGGTTAGTCCTACCATCTCTCAACAGACAGAAAGAGTCAGAGCTTGGCAAAGCGAAGCATAGGTGTCGTCCTCACTTCCATTCATTTTTGTAATCTGCATATAAATGTTTCTATCTTGTCCTTTTCTCCCCATTGAGTGCAAACAGGTTTTCGAGTTTACCCGTTTCATCCCACATTTATGGATGAAGCGATATGATTGCATATCACAGACGACGTGGCTGTATTGGTCTAGGAGTTGGTGATAGACTAGATTTGTGTGTTATAGGGAGTGCAAGAGGGAGTGAAGGGGGAGGTGGAGGTGGAGGAGGTGGAGAAGTTGGGAGTTCTGCATCGTCATCTTTATCTTCTCCCACAAGTCTGCCCCTATCACTTGACCCTGTACTTTGTGAGTATATAAGCCTTTTCTGAGGTGATCTGTCTCGAAGAAAGGGCATTGCGTTATTGAATCGTTCTGTCTTCCATGTTAGCCTTAATAGCTGGAAACACGGTGCCAAGTGTGAGGAGGTCCCTTGGTAACAACTTCAGCCAGAAGGTTCGACTTCGCCACTCTCTTTTCATTTCAACAGTGGATTCTCGATTCATCATTGCCGGGGGATTCTGGGACAACAGTTTCCGTGTCTTCAACACGGACAATGGTGAGTCCCTGGTCTTTAGTTTTCAACATCTTTGGCATATTTACAGTGTCTAATTTTCACTACCTCCATTCCATTCATCTTCACAGCAAGGATCGTCCAGATCATATTTGGTCATTATGGGGTGGTGAGGTGCCTTGCCCGATCAGAATGTAATGTCGTCTCAGACTGCTTGGTTGCATCTGGATCCCAGGATGCGACTGTCCGTCTCTGGCATTGGAATGCTCGAGCACAGCTGATAACAGGTGATGGGAATGGGTTGGATGCTCCATCTCCAAAAGCCATCCTTACAGGACATGACAGCCCCGTCGTGGCGCTTGTCCTTTCAGCCGAACTTGGTCTTGTTGTCTCGGGTTCACAAGGTGATCTCTCTCTCCTTTCTCATCTCACTCTTCATTTCTGTTATAGGAGTAATGTCTACCATGCCTTATATACCTCACAGGCGGGGCAGTTCTTGTCCACACAACGCATGGGGACCTCTTGCGGTCCTTGAGGCCTCCAGGAGACTTCCTTTCCCCAGATCTCATGACCCTGTCACGTGAGGGACTGGTCGTTGTCAAATATGATGCTGGAAATCTGGCCACATTCACCATCAATGGGAAGCTCCTTCGTCATCAATCTCACCACGATCATCTCCATGTGAGTGCTATTTCCATTGCCCCTTATATGCAATGATGGTGACTGCTGCCATGAGCACCATGTATTGTGTTTGGCTGTAGAGTGTACTTGTGAGTCGGGATGGAGAATACCTGATGACTGGAGGTGAGAGAGGAGTGGTGGAGGTGTGGAGAACCTTCACCCTTGCTCCTCTCTATGCATTCCCACAATGCGATAGCCACATCCGAACACTTGCCCTCTCCCATGATCAGAGGTCTCTCAGCTCTCCTTCTCTTTCTCTGAGGAAGAAAGAGAGTCTTTTTTATATTTTTATTTCCAATTCTTTTCGTTTCAGATACCTGGTGGCTGGATTGTCATCTGGGTCCCTTGTGGTATTCAACATTGACTTCAACAGGTGGCATTATGAATACCAGCAGCACATCTAGCTAGTCACTATCTGCAGCCTTTCCTTTTTTTTCTCTGCCTCTTCATCCCCCACTTCTTCACCTTCACTTTCTCAGTGATCAACTAGCAGGGATGAAGGGATTTCTTCTGTGGACACTGTATTGCTCAGCTACTTATATTATGGGAGAAGGGTTTCTCTTGTTTTCTCACTTGTTCCATGAATCCCATGATTTGCACCCTCATCTCAGCTCTTTTCATCTGTAGAGAGGATATTTTTCACAATGGCCTTTCCCATCTTCTCAAGTTATTAGTCATGGTTGTGATGGACTGCATGGGTCTCAAGTTGGCAGCTTCAATGTGAGAAGCCTAGGAGAGAACCTCTTCAGTGGTGACAATAGTCATGTGCCAAAGCACAGGAAATTCAATATTTGTTTGCCACATCCAGGTAGCTTGCAGGCAGCACTGTCTTCTTGTGTCATTCTTGTGTTTGTTCACATAGTTGTGTGATTGTACTTGGACAGTGTGCATGCTCTTTTAGGTATTCGTGTTGTGACACCAGAAATCAGAGAAAAATCCATCCAAAAAAATCACATGGTGACCATTTAAGTCTTGATCTAAATTTATGGCATTCCCACCATGTGATCCCATCCATCCATCAAATACCGCCCAAGGAAAGGTCCCATGTTAACATTCCATTCTAATTTCAGTTCCTCTCACTCCCTTCTCTCTGCCTCCTCTTTTGACATCCGCCATCATGTCCTGTATGATGTCAATGAATTCTGAACTACCAGAATCCCCCTCATTATGAGGGTCTGAGAAATTTCCTCCCTTCCATTTTTCATTTGTTACTCTGTTCCACTTCTCATTTGTTGTTGTGCTTATTTTATGCCTTGATGAAGGGATTATGGTTATGGCTTATTATTATTATTATTATTAATATTAATATTATATTATGGCTGGTTATAGTTCCTTTTTATGAGGATTGTGAGTTTTCTGATGATTGTGATTTCTTATGATGATGATTACACCATGTGTAAATGAATCCTGATAAGTATGAAATGCCATGAAATGAGATGGAGTTTTGGTGATATTTTACAGATGAACTGGAATAAAATCTTGAGAGACAAGACAAATCTCAGTCTGCAAGACAATTGATTTTGCTTTATTGTGTCTGAGAAAGGTTTCAGCTCACTATTCTGTGAATTGACATGTTATTCTTGCACAAAAAATGGTGTAATGTAATGGAGGTACTGGGACATGAAGTTCCTGGTCAATTAAGACTTTAGGAACCTCTTTCTGATATGGACAATTGATAATTAGACCATAACTTGATTCATTTAGATAGGCTGGTCTTCGTGCTTTCAGAAATGCTACCAAGTTAATTCTAAAGTGGCATAGACAAGTGATGTCCATGACACATCCAGATGCAATGTGAAATCCTCAAGTAATGCTTTTCCTAAAGCTGTGGAGGATTTTGCACGTCAGAATGATTGCAAAAGAATTTGTTCAAGGTATTTGACAGGTATAAGCTTAAGAGTTCTCACCTGTTTCCTGCCCTTTGATTCTGAGTTTTTACTTTATTTCTTCTTGAACTTTTTTTATTTCCTGACATTGCAGGGTAGAAGTTTATAATTTCCCTAGAATTGCGCAAATGGTAAAAGCGAAACATCAGCTTCCAGCTAAATTCAGTTCATGTTGCCCCTACGACAAGTACGAAGGATTTAGTTGCAATGCTGTCCGACATGTATTCTTTTGTATTGATGGAAATTCTTCTCATAAGGATTTCCTTTTTTGTTCCATTTTGTTACGCTGCCTCTGGAACCAGGGACGAGGGTGCAGTTAAAGGCTTATTTTTATCGTCACTTTTCAGTTATTGGATGAGAAATTATTTCGCAGAGGTCCTTTACCCGATAGTCCCTAATGGCCGATAAGGCACTACATTTCTGGCTTGCTCATTTTCTCTTAACTCCCGCCTGGATGATTTCATGCAGAAGTGCGTCGTTGATAAAATTTTCGAGAAGGCTTGCAGACGGATAGGAGTGATGCAACTAGAACTCCGATTAATGTCTCTTCTCGCGGCTGCTGCGATCGCCCGCGTGACGGAAACTAAAAGACTAGGAATCTTTCTGTGACAGCGTTCTTTCGTGTCTAGTGAATAGCTTATTTTTTGTCTCTTTTCGTCCGTTTCGCAATCAAATCGAAATAACTTTTTGTGTTCGTGCGATGCGTTTCTCGCAGAAAATACAGAAAGGAAGAACCAAGAGTCGGGTGAAACCACCATTGCTATAGCTCAACTATTACAATTTCCGCTTTATATTTCCGCGACGCTTCTATTGTTTCGCTACGCATTTTTGGACATCGTTCGCACCGATTCAAGAGAGGCGACTCGTGCTGGTAGATTTGAGAGGAGTGGCGAATGAATGAGATGGATTATGAAGACCTGAGCCGATCGGTTTAATCTCCATCGGGATAGCCGACACAGGGATCGTTAGGAGGGCATCGAAAGCAAGAGGAAAAGTAGCCTTGGAATATCGTAGGACCCTCACAGGATGTAGCCACTACCGTGGTTGGCAGGTGTGCCTTGTATGACGTGGTATCGCGAGATACCGAGGCCATCATCCACTCCATCATTTCGGTTCCCTCCGCATTCACGATCCATCTGTGATCGTACTCTTCGAGAGCGTCCTCCAGGAAACTTGGGAAAGTGGTTCAAAAAATCTTGGACCCCACAGCAAGCTATATAATATCCAATGCTGTTGCCGCAAATAAAAAATGTGATCCATGCATGTTTACACGAACAGCAATGCTACCTGCTAACAAAGATTGGCAACAACGATATTTGAACCGGATAATTTTTTTAAAACCAAAATTGGCCAGTTAATTTTGGCTCAAATTTTGCACAATGCATTTGCCCTCTGAACCGCATGTCAGGCCACCCCAAAATTCATCTTACCATTCCGGAAGACCATCAAGTATGGGAAGGAGTGTGTCAACATGTGTGTAGAAAGCGGTGATTTGTGACGAAGACCACTTCATCCAGTGTGTTAAACCTGAAAGCTCTTGAATCAATCCGAAAAATGCAGCGATTGATCAGTTCAGAGGGTGAGCTGCGATATGCATTTAGCAAAATGGAGGCTTCTTTTAAATTTTGCTACAATTGCAGATTAGGCTCGAATTTAAAAAGTTATTAAATTGATTATTAACTAAAATAAACCTTGCTCGCAAGGAGCATTGCTGAGCATGCAGACAAATCTGCGATACAAATTTATTCCATCCAACAGTATTTGATATTTTATTATTTTCATATGAGATCCAATATTTTTTAGACCACCTTACAAAGTGAAATAAAATTCGAGATCCCACTCTCATCTGCGTCCGAACGTTGATCATGCGAACGATCGGATATCCAACCAAAAAAAAAACAAACAACTGGAGTATCAGCCCAGGTACAGATGAGTCATTCTACTGGTCACTACCGGCACTTATCAATTTGCCATTGGTGACCATAGTCACTGCTTTACAACCAGATGCCACCACCCTAATATCGTCAGTGAAGCTTCATTGGCTCTCCAGATGTAAGAACGTAGATTTGAATGTTGTCACCTACACAATAGAGAGCTATTGCAACTAATACGGAATAAATAATTATAGGGTACACCTACCTAATTCTGTGATAGTCGCACCTATAGTCATTCACAGTTAACTGTTACAGTTTAGGTAATGCCATGAATGCCCGTTAGATAGCAGCACTTTAGGCCTATTTAAATGATGTATCTATTAATAAATGCTAAATTTATTTAGTATGCATCATTTAAGCGTAGTTTCATTTTCACCAGTCTTTCCAGTCCTTAGTATCACAGAATCGGGTTGTTTTACCCTATATGCTGTATGTAATCGCGTTGCTGCATTCATAATTTTTTTTTAGCGAGAAAAAGCGACGTATTACATTGTAAAACGCAGTACCTGTTATCGCAACGCAAGTATATGTTACGTTCTGTCCCATTCACATCCGGCACATTCTGTCCCGTTCACATCCGTTAAATCCGTAATCGAGACTTGCTAGAAGCCTGGGAAAGGCCCTTCTGGACTCCGGTGGACCTCACCATCCTATGACAGGGAAAACAGACGTAGATAGGATAGTCCGTGAACGCTGTACGGCACGAATTACCGTAATTGAGAATAATCGCCAGCTCACGATACATCGCAGACGAAGCCATTATGGACCAGAGCTCGGACGAATTCACACCGAGAAGTCTGAAGGAAAAGCGCTCGGGCACAGTCAATGGAAGAGTTATCGATTTTGGCGAACTTTGGCTGCGATTTTTCGCCTCCATCCATCTCCAATGCCGCTTCGGCCTCCAGACCTTCTCAGCGTGACATTTTAATTCATATTTTATTCATACAGTATTTGGTGGCTTCGATTCTCGAGAGAAAGAGGTCCACGCCAGATCAGACAGGGTAGCAAGTTTAAACGCTATTCCTCAGCCTTACCCGATGGGATCGGAGGCGAGTTCGAAGCCCTTCTCATAAGTGTCATGAACCAATTTTTTATTGAAATATTCGCGAAAGCGGGACTCCGTTAGGACATCCATTTGGATTCAGCTCCAAAACTGCTCTATTGATGGTGGAGAGGGGGAAGGGGGGGGGGGGGGGCCGTGCCAAGAGTACACCTCAGTCGTTATTGCATCATTAATGAAGAGAGAGGGTTTTTAACCGATCAGCCCCTAAAGAAAAGAAAGATCTCTGGAGAAACGGATGCGATGTGCGAGTTTGCTGACATCGGGGATAACTTTGACGGGACCAGGAGAGAGGGAAGGAGGAAAGAGGGATAGTTCCTATTGGAGGAGGGAAGAGGGATAGTTTCTATTATAGAGAAAGTACACTGTTAGCAGAAAGGGTTCAGGGTTTAGCCTAGGTGAAGAATAAACCGTAAAAGACGGTTAGATGACTGCGGATCGCCACTTAAAAGGGTTAATTAGGTGATTATATTAAATGTGATGAATTCTTTATATCCTTTTCGATTGAGAGGGTTAAACATTTAACTTTTTCGTTTTATTAATCTTGTGAGTGGATAAATGAGTATCCATGAGAACAGAAGAAATATCTATCCCTTTTGGAGTTAAATATACTAGTATTAAGTTCAAATACCCATTTTAGTGAAACATAGGAAGTAAATATAATGTAGAATAAGAGGCAGTAAGATGGGCCATTTGAGTTGAATATTGTCCAGACTCCACAAGCAGGCATATATTTTTTGGTACACCTTTCTTTTTTCTAGGCCTTTTTGAAGCCTGGATTCTGTCAACTCTCTTCAGATGTGAGAAGATGTAACACAAAATTGCAAGATTTTTATAGGCCTAAAGGTTTCTGTGCTCTCTATCTTAGAAAGTTTAGCTGATAAGTTATGATATGTAATGTATGTCCAAGCTACTCTGATATTTAATTATCCATTGGGCTTGAGATACTTGAAGTAGTCTTTAATTCCAATTCCATCCTTCAAGGAGTTTATGGTTAGTTTCCCACTTTAGGACTGGCTTCATTTTCCTGTGAATAAGATCATATTTTATTGATCCTGGAGTAAATTTCTGTGGAGTCATTGTGGGAGTGTCTTGTGTAATACTTGTATGGTAATCATGCAACTTCCTGAGAAGAATGGAGTTTTAATTCTAAAGATTGTGTTGCTACTCTGAAAATACCCAGCATATTTGAATTTTTGCATGATTTGTCTGTTATATTTTAAATGCAATTTTTCAAGAGAAGGAACTAACACTTACTTATGGATAGTCCAGTATATAGGAATTATTGGCTGACTCATCCAGCATTAGATTATTTCAGTTTTTGCTCTTGATATTAAGGTGCAAAAGTTATAATCTGAAGAGCTGAATGGGCAAAGTGTAGTTAAAAGTGAATCCTTG